CACCCGAAGTTCGACTTTTTGTGCATGAGGTTTTTCTCTTATGGATTGATAAATTTTGTTTATGTCAATGTGTCTGTTAATTGCTGATTCACTGGAATAGCAGGCTTGTAAAAATTCACTTACGTCCTTGGTGTTTTCTCTGCCTAGTATTTGAACGTTATCCCAGTAGAATTAATGTCCGTGGTTGTGTGTATGTAACGATATGCGGCAGTGGATATCATTTCTTTTGCCGGCTAGTTAGTTTGTGTTCATGGATGCGAAGACGAAGAGGATGTGTAACGATAGAAGACAAGAGCCAGGCAACAGATCGTTTATTGATAAAATCAAGAGGTATTTATAGATTTTTATGTACATTATTATTAACGGAGAATCAACGTCTTCTGATTGGTTGTTTTCTTCTTCTTCTTATTGTTCCCTTGGGTTCCTAGTGGAACATAGGGCTTCAACTGCACGCCTCCACTTGCTTCTGTTTTGTGCTGTACTTTTCACTTGCATCCATGTTAATCCATACTGTTTCAGTTCCTCATCACACGATCTCCTCCATGTCACCCTTGGACGTCCCGCGGTTGTTTTCTTGCTGAAGGTTATTCCGTACTGTTTGTGACCCTTTCACAGAAAGTTAAGCCATATGTCTGCGAATCGTATTTGCATACTCTAAGTCTGCTGTGATTGGTGAGTGATTTTCTCAAGGTTAGGCTTTGTTATTGTTTTATTCTCATGACCCCGATTCGAAACATATACATTGACGTCAATTGTTGTCTAAAATTTTGGCTTGCAGACAGTTCCCACCACAGAATAATGACACGTTCACTACTAGTCTGTACGAGTCAAGAGAGCATAACAAAAATTAAAAAATCCACTTTTACTACCAATATTTCTCCATTATTTCGAATATATATATCATTGATAGTTACGTTCATAACCATATGTTCAAGCCATCGCTCCACTCTTCAAGATTCTTACTTAAGACATCGGCAGTGTATTATTGACGAATCCTTATTAGTAGGACACACCACGCAGGTGGATATCTTGCTGACTAATATGTTAATTCGCTATCTTCTTTTTTCCTTCACGTTCCCCAGTGGAACATAGGGATTCAAGCTAATGGCTTGAAGTTTCTGCAGCAGTGTTTATTTTACAGGATGGGGTTGCTAGCCTCATGCCCAACCTTTCCTCTCTACCAGAATTATTTCCGGCTCATCGAGGTAAAGGAGTGCGGCGGCCGGGGATCGAACCCCAGACCATGTGGATGGTCGGCGAGCGTCCTAACCGCTATACCACCGACGCACAATTCGCCATCTTGAATGTATTAAAATTTTGAAGTGTTCTTCATAACTTACTAAGAGTAAGATTTAGCCTAACAGTTAATTATTGCGAAAATATTCATTCAGACATTTAGAACACAAAAGAAATATTCTTTTCGATAATTTTCCTCTCCGGCCATATGCATAGATTATTGTAGAATAATCCCGACCGATAGCTGCTACCTTGAAGCGGTGGTCGGGCGTGCATATCGCAGTGACCCCCAACAGGCTACGCTGGTTAGAACTAAGGTTCCCTATACGTCCTATCATACCAGGAAGATTGACAGAACAGCGATTAGACCACAAAAGTAGCAGCTACCGGCATAGTGTAATATTTCTTTTTACACTATGCTGGGGGTCTGTAGGCAAAATCATACTGCTGGGGTATAGGGATGTAACAGCAAGTAAGGTTATATATATGTATATATATATATATATATATATATAAACATTCCTTTACTAAGTCTATGGTCTTCTACTGTTACGTCAGATCATCTGTCTGCTAATTGTATCCGCCTACGCAAAGTCTGCTGTGATTGACTGTTGACTCAGTCTTTGTTCTTATTTTTCTCACGACCAATATTGGGGACGTAAACATTGACGTAAATTACTGTCTACCCAATTGGCTACCAGCCAGCTCTCACCACAGTAGTAATAGTAACACTAAGTAACTGCTCATAGGATTTGAGCAATCCGTGCGTCATTATTGTTTGTAGATTCAGTTTGCTTTGATACTTTCTAAGTCATTGATGAGCTCAATTAGATTTTCAATGTAGAACTTTGCATAAAAGTGTAACAGTACAAGTTGTTACACTTTATAAAGGCATACATATAGGTATACAGAAAAATAGATATGTAATGATATAAGGATAAAACTTGGGCACTGTGGGGTAGAGTATAACTCCATTATGGATAAAATTTTATTTTGATAAAATCACACAGTGTAGTGTTGTTATACAGTGGTATTCACTACTGATGACCACGTTTCGAGCACAATTCATTACTGCTCACAATCTTATATCAAGGCACTACTCACACAACTCACTTTCTTGCTTCGTCATTTATATACATGAGTAAAAATTGATGATTAGACATTTGAATAAAATCAATAAGATAAGATAAAGTACATTCGGAAATAATAATATGAGTTTTATCAATAAAATACAATCAGATGGGAAATAAGATGTTTTTATAGTAAAAAAAATAAGTAACCTGTTCGAATGTTATAATGTGAATTGAAATAGAATTTTAACATTTTTTATTATCTTCCTCTGATTTGACTGACTGGTGGTAATAATATCTTCCATATCTCTGGTATATACGTTGAGTCACTTCTATTACGCAGGTGTTGTGTTGGGTGTAGACTCGATGAACCAGGCGGGATTCAGTAATCAATCTCTATCTCCATCAACCTATATGAATTTTTAGAATTTTAACTATGTCCCACCCCATTGTGTGTTAATGCATATATGCAGTGCTGAGTCTTTTTCTAAATTGCTTATCATTGTGGGATCAATCATTCTAATCTTAGCTAAATTTTTTATGTTCTGATAATCTGACTACCCCCTGATCTACTAGTTTGACCTATGTAGTTGACTTAACTCACAGTCATTTCAAGGTATTTTGTAAATTATATTGTTTTGTCTATTTGGTCAACAGACAGGGTCCTTTGGCCTAGAGAGCTTGTCCTTCCTTCCTTCCTTCCTGAGTTTGTTGGTTTGAATGCCACTACCCTAATTCCTGCCCAGAAATCCAAAGAAACCATAATCAATTAAAATCTCCTAAAGAAAAAACAATAAAGATTTAACGAATCTGTAAGAACTGAAAGAACTAATATATTTGTGTCATTTATGAACCATTTTGAGGCATGTTCTCGATAGCTTCCAACCATTGATTCTTCACATTTTGAGGGATTTCAACCTTGACAGTCTTCAGCACTCTACATTTCACAAAGCAACAGTCAACGACTTTTTAGATTAATGTCATATTTTGATTTCAACACTCCTAATTCTTTTCCAACCCAACTATATTTCAGTTGACATTACTCGACAAGTTAGGCAATGATTTGGAATTCGTAACACATATATCCCAACCCCATCTCAATTGATGTTGCTTGACAACCTGAATGATTGACTTTCCTTACCTACCCCCATGTGCTTTCGACCTCATTATCAATGATCATATTGTATTATCATCTAACATGAGATGTAGGCGCTCAGATACCTGGTGTTCAAAGATTGCTAACCCCTTCAAGTCTCACACTTTCAACAACAGTGTATCATAGCAGTAGACAGGATGGGTGCGAACTGCTATGCAGTATACACATCCTTTGGATGGATTGTCAAATATCATGCCTACAGTCATAGACGGTGCAAGTTGATAAACGCTAAACCATTGATTTCGACAATGTCGAAATTCTTGGAAGAGGATTTCATTCACATAAAGAAAGATTGACCTCTGAAGCCTTGCACATTTTAACCACATCGAATGCAGTAAATAAGAAAGAAGGGATAGACTTATCACCTATATGGCAAACTCTAATGAAGCAAGACAGATGAGAAAATGACAAAAAATCCTCTATGAACCTCTGTGACCTTTATAAAAAGTATTATCATGTTTATCACATGTGAATTGACGTCTTTTCCATATAACAAATAACATGCACTCATACAGATAAATATACACAATGGTAATTTGACTTTGGTCATTACAAATATATGATGACTGCTTAGTTATTTCTATCAGTACAAAAATCTATCGACAAGTGACCTTCAAATAAACTGACTTCAATTTATTTAAAAAAAATTTTGACTATATATTTTGGGGATTAATAAAATCCGAATAATTCTGCTGAAGAAGCTCGCTGTGACTTACACAGCGAAACGTCCAGAAAACAGATCTTGTTTTGATTTTCTCTTAAACACGCTGGGATTATTTTAAGTATGATTGCATGGAGGGTTTCCTCATCAGCTGACATCAGTTAGAGAACCATTGGAAAACTAGCTGAGAGTACTGGGCATCTGTTTCGTCCTAGTTCGGGACTCTTCAGCAGTACGCACCCACAAGGGTTCGAACCCAGGACCTTCTGGTTACAAGGCGAGCCCGCAGACCATTGAACCACTGGGACCCGATCCAATGGTCCTTGTATTCTAACTTCTGCCAATTCACGACATATCGCGACCATTTCGCTATGTCTTCTTCGATGAGTTACTGCCTCATCTTCAAACTGCTGTACCCTACTGGTCACGGCTTCCCATGATGAAATCCTCCATGGAATCAAACAAAATCCCTACGTAACCAATACTTGAAAATTATTTCAAGTAATTTATAACGAGTCTTTTATATGTTGTTGTATTTTGTACTAGTTTTTTCCTCGTTTCCAACTTGTTATTCTTAAATATTTTATTTTATTTTTTATCATTACTGTCATTATTGTTTTATTTAGATTCAGTTTATTTCAACACCTGGTAAAAATCAACTGCCAATAGTTACTTCACTACCTCATTGTCTACACATGTCGTCTACACACTTGGATGAGACACACACCACTAATCATAAATCATGGCTATCACATAAAAATAATGCTCATAATTACTATTTCAATACAACATTACGCGGTAATTCAAGCTCATTTATTAATCCTGATGTTTCACTTGAAACAAGTGGGATTATGAATAAAAGTGATAATACTAATGATAATGATAATAATAATTGTATGCATCACAAGTATTCGTATTACCAGCCTTTACTGCCTGGTGCACAGACATTTCTAGGCATTGAACAAGATGATTCATTGGTTGTTGTGTCACCTTATCATGAGCTGAAGTCTGTGTATCAAATGAAATGGTCAAGTGCACCATATCAAATTCATGTTTATCCACCTTACATAATTGGAGTAAGTTTCGATGTAATTTTGTTGGGTGCATATTTTTTGTTTCTCTTTATTATTCCTTTTCGTGTTGATATTTTGTGGTTAATATTGAGTAAAAATCATTAGGAAGATGTGAAAAGGTCAAAAGTAAAATAAAAATAATGATGGAACTACTAATGATAACATAAATCAGAAAGAATATAAGGCATCTACAGTAGTTTTACCATGATAAGGAGAGGACATCTGAGACCCTCACTAAGTAGGATTCTTAATAAAGCAGGAATTAAGGTGGTGGCATTCAAACCTGCAAACTCAGTCAGTAAGGAAGAACAAGCTCTGTAGGTTAAAGGACCCTGTCGGTTGATCCAATTAAACAAAATAATATAATTTACAAAATACCTTGCAATGACTGAGTTAGGTCAACTGTGTAGGTCAAACTAGTAGATGGCGAGTAGTCAGATTGTCGGAACATAAGAATTTAGCTAAGGTTAGAATGATTGATCCGGCGAAGACAGATGAGTAATTTAGAAAAAAGCTCAGCACTGCATTGCACTGCATGTATGCATTTACACACAACCAGACAATAGGGTGGTGGGAGAGGGTTAGAATTCTAAGAAGTAATATAGGTAGATGGAAAGAGAGAGAGGTTGATTACTGAATCTTAACAGATGGAATCTACACCCAGTAATAACAACAGTAATCACTGCGACTACGAGGACTAATGGCTAGTAACTTGAACTCCAGCACTCTTGTGAGTAAACCTGTCTCCATTAAAAAATTCATTTGAGTTCACTGGGATGATGGAGAAGTACAGTACCAGTTATCTAGGAAGTTCTTGAATCTGCTTTTCTGTGATTTATATCTTGTTTTAGCATATACCAATGTATATATATATATCTTCATCTAGGGTACTGAGAGGTCATAATAAGCTTTGTCATATGTATCAGTCTTCAACAAACTTGGCTGTTGATTTTTCCATCCATTAATTTTTGTTTTTGTAAATCAGGTTACTTACTTTTTTAAAAGTAGTATAGTTATTTTAACAAATTTGAATCCATTGTCACTATTTTTTTAAAATTTTCATTACTATTTGATTGCACACATCTCAAGTGCAATTATGTATAACCCATATAATCTTTTGCATATCGTTCTACGTCTCCAAAGCCTCAGGATGGTCTGGGGTGGGTGCCTTGCGCTGCGGGTTGGCCACCCCTCCGCACACCTCTTGAAATGCTCTCATACGACCGGGCGTCTTACATAGCCTCTCCTGAGGAAGTCCTACTCACTGCCTTCACGTGGCGGAGGTGTTTTTCACCAAAGTGAGAGGGCGAAAGCGGATGCCCGGCGCTCTTCACGGGGTTGACTGTCCATTGGATGACAGTCTAGGGGAGATGGCTAAACCCTGATTCCAAACCTCAGGCAGACGGATGGACAAAGGGCTTGTTGGATGTCCTAGATGTCTGACCCCATTCAAAAAGGCGTATGAACCGAACTCCGGTCACCGGCTGCCAATGGATAGTGGACTCCCTACTCCACTCCTACTGCCTTGTCGGTCACACTTGGTTGTGTAAAGGCTAGAGCTGCACTCTCAAACAAAAGGCCGTACCGAATTCCCATGAAACTTCATGAACCCTCTTGCAATCAGATCGCCGCGCCTGGGAAGCGATGATTCGAGATGTTCATGAAGCCGGCTCATCCTCCCGTAGGAGATAGCCGAAGTAAAGTAAAAGTAAGTCACTGTTTGGTTGCTTCTTATTCATGTCCCGTTCGAGGGCCTGGCATGTGATGCCACTTGTAGGTAGGTCTCCTTAGCATATTAATGAACCAATCAAGTTCAGTGGTACCCAACTGCTGTACAACAATTGCAGGTTCACTATTTCGATTGACAACTTTTAGAGTCTAACACACAAACGTATACAACTTGTATGCGATATGGCTAGTTTAAGCAACTGTCTTTTAAAATGAATAAAAATGCCCATTAAAATTTTTCAAAAGAATGGTTACTGAACAAAGAATATTCTTTTCGATAACCTGCTCTTCATCAGGTTCTACAGTTAGATATCCATCCATAATAATTAAAGAATTAGGGTTATTAACAACATTAATGTTTTTCTAAAACTGGCAACAAAGCCAGCATTGAAGAATCCTTCTCTATCATCTATCGGGTACCAAATAAATTGCCAAAAACATCCAGGTACCATAGACTCTATCAAACAGCGGAGGCTATGGCGATTCGCGTGAGACAACCAGTGCTCTGTGTTCAGGAGAAACAGGTCCCACTAGCCACTATTACTGCCCTGGCCGGCCTTCAGTGAAGACTATAAATTCATGAATTTGTATTATTATTTTCCCCAATCTGTCTGATATTCAGTGAATTGTTATGTTGATGCTATTGAACTATAATGCATTTATATTATTCTTATTATTATTATTATTATTGACTCAATGTTATTTAAACAACATTTATGTTGTTAATAATGACACTAATTCTTTCATTATTATGGATGGATATCTAACTGTATGACCTGATGAAGAGATGCACCACATAAAGAAATACTCAAACAACAATATATTGAGAAAATAGGGGTAGATAGAGTAAATAAGGGATAACATCCCAAAAGTAAATAGCCATACTCGTCAAGATCATCAAAGAATGGTTCATTACTTCATATTACCTTTTTGTTATGATGTTGCCTAGGGTGATGAGTACGAATGCTAATTCACGTTATGAACGTTCGGTAATTTCCTGATCGATTATTCCCTGACCCGAACTAGTAAACTCCAGAAGACGTAAACAGTGGAGTTGGAAACGTGTACTTCTAAAACAATTGAGGGAGAGAGTAAGTGACAAGAGTACAAAAATATATATGGCATATATCATTTCAGTGACAGGGCTCGAATAGTAAGCGTTAATCTGCATCCTGGATTTTGATTGATTGACTGACGTTCAATATGTGATTTGCTTTTATCTAGCAGACTAGTGAGACAGATTGTTGACACATCAGGCTGATAGATTAATGAGATAAATTGTGGACACATATCATTTCTGGAAAGTGAATAAGGGAGGAAACTGCGGCATATTCGCCATTGATTTACTATTCTTGGTCAAATGTGGTGATGTCTCAAGCCACTGGTTTGAGTCCTCTTTCTCGAATCCTACGCAGGTTGTCGTCATGCTCCAAAGGATGCTGACCTAATACAGCTATCCTTCATTCCGTGCCATAGCATGACCATCTTTCTGCTTTTTCCATCCTTTTCTAGGGCTAGCGGACAGTGATTAGGGTGGATGCCGGTGTTTTAAGATGGTCTCCACCGCGTCCAAAGACACGCTTTGCAAACCTCAGAGTTACACAATGATACCTTGCGGACACAAGCAATTCTACGAAAGCAGCAATGATCAAATACTCAGAGTCTCTGTACACCCTCAGCTTGGAGAGACCAGGTGCTAAGAAATGACACACTCACGGTCGTCATTTCTCAAATTTTTATAACATGGTTGATATCATGAAGTGATTAAAGTATGCACATAGATGTTTAGTATCGAAGTGAGAAAACAGCACTTTAGATACGCGATTAAGGCCTGCCGGACATAATTCAACACTCTCAGAACAACAAAACAATCTCAAAATTTATATGTGATTTACGTGGAATAGTTGTCTATTAGGTTAGATAACATACTGTTAGGCTGCTTTTTTGAACACATCAAGAAATAGCAACCGCAACAGCTATCGAGAATCATCTACTATCTACTAGTTAGGTCTTAGTTACCCAGTGGCCTAGGTTATAAGCCACACTTGTTATGTAAGGGCTAATAATACTACTACCCATTTATCAAGACTGAGGTAGGTGGGGCTGGACTCAAATTTGCAACCCATTCACTGAAAGTCGAATGCCTACGTCAATGCGTCACATCTCCACAGCGGTCATAGTCACCTCATAAAGTTTATATTTTTTCATCTATGTATTGTACAAATCATATGAGTTCATAATACAAGATATCACTTCTAGTTTCTATTTCTATGCACAACCTGAATTGTAGTGAGACAGGGAACTTCAGTATAAATTAGGCTGCAATGTAAAGCATGGCATTCAGTCCAGATGTTTACGTAACATGCATATAAGAACAAACAGTTCAGCGAAGAGTCTCTTTTCGACGGCGAATTCATTCACTTAGCTGTACAATCGCAATTGTACGTAATTATTTTGTGTGTGTGTGTGTACATTAGGTTTGTCAGGTAAGAATAAAAATGAGTTAGGATTATTGTTTGCGTCATCAAATTGTCAAAAATGTGATGAATAATCAAATTGTAACTGGGGGGGGGGGGTGATGATTAGTAAGCAGTGACAAGGGTTACGTAATATGGAAGACACCCAGAAAAATAGGATTTTAATGAAAGAGCATGAAGACATTTGTTCAAAATAAATTATGTAATAGGTAGGAAGAGTAAATAAAGGGTTGATTAAGAAAAACACGTTACTAAAAGTTCATAAAAAATCTAAAAAACATTATTAACAAAGTAGTCGAACGTGGACTTATACCCAAGGTAGAAGGACGGGATGGAGAAGTTTCTTCTGTGTACATAAATCAGGGTTTTCTATCCAGATCGCTAAGGTCTCGGCAGTGCAAAGTATACGGAAGCTTACCTAGCGTTTCCGGGAGGCTTCTTTTGACTTTGTAGATGACTTTGAATGAATTCTCCTTACATATTGAGTGACCAGTGTTGAATATATGCTCAATTACAGCACTCCTTATTGATCCACTGTTACCTTTTCGTAGGCAAGCGGGATAATGTTCTCCGACTCTTTTAGATAAAACACGCATCGAACGACCTATATATCTCGCTCGCCCCACATGAGCAAGTAAATTGGTAGATACACATAGAAGTGGTCAACTGCGATAATTTATCTTTGGAGTTGTTGAGGAACAATGGGCGACTTGAGTATACCAGTCGTTATGTAGCAGCAGGGAATGTTCTTTTCAGGGCGTTAAACATACTATTCTTTAAGATGTCGGCCAGAAGATCGCCTTTGAACGCCACATTCATGTATAGCATCTTCTTCAGCACAGAGATGGATAGTTCTTTATTGATTTTCGGCATTATGTGTTTTTAACGTTACAGTCTCTGCTGAATTCCCCTAATAGGAAGTTTACATATTGTACGAAAATCTATAGTTTCTTCTCCATTTATCTAATTTTTGCTCTATTTTTTTCTCCTCGTCTAATTGTAATTTGTGTAAAACACGTGATCTTTTTACATCATTCATACTTATAATCGGCAAAATAAAATGCGTAATTTTGTTGATAAATCAATACTTGCATTCACACTTGCATAACTATTTATGCTTCTGTGTCTTTCTCGCTTTCTTTTGAGATGATGACCCCATTTCATATAACGCATGAGACACAATGATTTGTCTCAGATTAGCCAAAAAGTTTAAAGAAACATATATATATTTATCAATACCAAAATTCCAATTTCTTATTGTCGTCTGTATCTCTTATTTTAGTTGGAGTATTTGTTTAATCTGAATAAAGCAAGAACAACAACAACAACAGTGGTGATTTGTGCAGAATACAAGATACTACCATCTTTTGTGTATTTCGTTGGCTTCTCATCAGCTGCTTGCTTACAGCCTAAAGAAATTATTATTAAGTTTATGTACAGAAACAATTTTCACATACATACACAGAATTTAATTGGTGGATGGTGACTAGCAGTGGAATAATCCAGGATAAGGAGCATTTCGTCCTATCCGGGACTCACCAGTCAGCTGGATGTATTTGCATTCCCCAGTGAATGATGATGTTCCTACCGGGGCTCGAACCCAGTGCCTGTAGTTTCAAACGCCAAAGCGGGTTATCCACTGGACCACTTGGGCCACGAGAGCGACTGCCTCTTGTCCAACGGGTCATATAAGTTATTCAATTGAATTTTAGATTCTCCCGTCGAAATGCGCATCCTGGATTCCACTGCTAGTCGCCATCCACCAATTAAATTCCAATTACATGCCCGGACATCGTCGAAGCATCTGCACAAGAAGCCAACAGACATGTCAACCTGAGACCGAGCATTTCGGTCCAATCAATCGACGGTAAAATCTAAAATTCAATTATACATACACAGAGTTTATTTTTAAACAAAAAATCAATATATGCATACAATGCTAGTAATAATGATAATAATGATCACTTTATCCCAAAGAACAATAATAGTCATACACAATGGAATTCTTGGTGTTATGTAATCAAACGAAAGAGAGAATGAAAACATCCAGTTACCAGGCAGGCCAAGAAAAGACTGATAACCGCTTCTTTCTGAAGAAAAACATCGGGTTTCACGTGCTTGATAGAGATTGCTTCGGTAAACTTGAGGAGAATTAAACTCTTTTGCCTATTGATAATTGTGAACGATCTTGCGACATCAACCCCTCATGACCCGTGTCAAGGAGATGTCTGTCAATGGCACTGGAGACATAGGCTTTTTGGTACATGTTCAGAAAATCGGAGGTATCCCCTTCTTCTTTCTATTCTTCTAATGTAACTGCTCCTGAAGATACATGTAAATTTGTATACACAGTTGTAGTTAACATGAGAAGGTTATCTGTCGACTTTTGATTGCACCAAACAGCATGTTATTCGATAGACGAGAACCATCTTAGCTGCGGGATAGGCTTTGGCTAGTGACACCCTCAATCTTCTGTTGACAATTGCTGTAATATTATCACCTTTAAAATCAAGTTGAATGAAGATAGGCTTCCTTACCACTGTGATTTGTTTGACATTTTTAAGCCTTCACATCTTCTATATTTGTTAATGAATCTTTGAGGGTAACCGTTATTTTTCAACATTTTTTTCGAGAATCAGAAATTCTCCGTCTAATTTTCTCTGCAGAGCATATTCTCCTACATCTATAGTATCGAGTCTTGATTAGTGCTCGTTTAACCTATTAAAAAACCATTAAAATGCAACTATTGTCTCGTTCCATATGGGTTTTCGGTAAATTGACCTCTGGAGATATTACCATCTTCTAGGTGTTGCCATGGCAATGTCAAGGATTGGACTACACCGACTCCTAGATTAGAAATAGGAAGTGAAGTGGTAGAGCACGTTGACCGCTTCGCTTACTTGGGAAGCACCATCAGCCCCAACGGGTTGATCTCTGACGAAATCTCAGCACGGATACAGAGGGCTAGTTTCGCATATGCCAGTTTATGCCGTCTCTGGCGTAGACGTGATATCCGACTGGCTATCGACCAAAGGGCGGGTGTACTACTCAACAGTCCGCTCCGTCCTCCTTTATGGCTGTGAGACCTGGCCATTGATAGTGGAAGACATGAAAAGGCTAGCCAGCTGTCTTTGATCATAGGTGTCTGCGTTCTATCTCCTGTATGAAGTGGTATAATAGGGTGAGCAATATTGAGGTTAGGCGTCGAGTGCTAGGTAAGGAGGGGAAATCAATCGTCGAGGTTTTGAAGCTGAGATGGTTAGGACATGTGCTACGTATGCCTAGTCATCGCATTCCTCGACGGGCAATGTTAGCTGACATAGGGTCAGGCTGGAAAAGAGCTAGCGGCGGTCAAACGAAAACATGGCACCAGTCAATGAAATCCACAACAGTTAGTCTAAGCCAACCACGTAGGAAGGTGTAGACTTCCTGACTTGTTGGGGTCCTCGGGACGGTAAAAACCAATGGTTGGAAACAATTGGTGATATGGCTCAAAATCGTTCTCAATGGCTGGCGCAGATGCATCCACTCCTTGTGACTTATGATTTCCAATTAAACTGTTTTGTTCTTCGTTATTACTATACCTTTGTCTCACACCTCTGTTTACTGTCTATATTATACATTTCTTCTACTCTCTTCTCATGCTTTGTGTGCTACAAGGAGGGAGTGTGGCGACTTGAACTGCCGCACATATGTGCAAAGTTCGATGTCGAAAACAGACAGACAGACAGCAAGGTCAAGGAAATGGAAATTTCCATCATTTTGATGTTCCATAGTAAGATCAATATTTGTGTATATGCCGTCGTTGAATAATCTGAGTGAGTAGGTGGTATTCTGCAAAAACTGTTGTGCTTATTTTATTCAAATTCACTAAAAAAAGGGGGGGGGAATAAATGTGTATGAAATATTTGTTAATCCTCAGTGAATTCAGTTATTTTTTCTTTCTTACCTCTTAGACTATGAATGATATGCTTGAAATCCGTGTACTGTATCCAAATAAAAAGATGATCCAACAACTGTCAATACCTCGTGTTACAGCAATGTGTCATTCTGGTGGTTGGTTTTATGCAAGTACAGCTCCAGCCTCAGTCAATAGATCGGCTTCTCCTGCTTCTTCTTCAGCTGCTGCTACTACTAATGATTCGCGTCAATCAAATAAAGAGAGTCCTGCTGGCCGAAGTAAAGCTCACCCTACTACATAGTAGTAGTAGTGGCAATGAAATTTGGCTTATTCTCTCGGCGAATCGATTAAAGTTTATCCAGGATTTAGTAAAACAAAAGGTGGGTGAGTTAGGCAGACAGACAATAGAGTGTCTTTCATTTATTCTTGTGTGCTATTTTATCATCTCTTTGCATTCTGAGTGGAACACAGAGCTGCAAGCTTGACCTATGAAGTTTTACAGGGTGTGTTTGCTAGCCTCACTTTCGGCCTAGCAAGGTTTAGCAGTGCGTCGGCCGGAATTTGAAGTCGGATCATTTGCGTGGTTGGAGAGTATTCTGCTATTTAAAACACCAACACACGAAGGTACAGATAGTTGGGGGCAACTAGCGAGAAGCCTTGAAAATAGGTTTCGTGCAAGTTGGCACTCATGAGCAAGGCGCATGTGCAACCTTGAAGGAACTCATGTCCTTCTGAGATTCCAACCCGCGTCACCCAGTGCTGCCTGCAGTCAGAGATGTTACCACTGAGCTATTCGGACTCGCGATTGACTTCCTGTAGGACTGTAGTGGCTACTTTGATTAGATACTAGTAACTATTGTGCGCCTGTTAATTGTTATAACGGTAATGAACTCGACTGATACTCTAATACGCCTGTATTTGTCCGTTATACCTTACAATTCACTGAGCTACACTAATATCAAAAGACAAAGGTTGGCCTGTGACTGGTAAGATATTGTATTATACATCTATTAGGGAACAAAACATCATATTTATACATTTGCTTTACCACAGTAACGGCTCACAGCCGTGAGAAGGGATTGTTCTTATTGGCTGGCAATTGCTATTCTCCATTGGTTGGCTATCCGACAAAGTCCAAGGTGAGAGACAAAAGATGATGAACAGGTCACACACTAAATCATAATAATATGCGTGAGAAATGATAGATCTACATAATAACTCCATTAGAAGATAAATCACACGATTCGTGAGAAAGGATGATATACTATTTTATGCTGGGTCGTATCATTTCTCCACTTACTTGTTCTTTCTGGCGTATATCTCCATGCATTATAGTTCCATTGGAATTTCTCTCCCTCTCTCTGTCTGCCTTGTATACTATATATGAAGTGTGGCAGTTTGAACTGCTGCAATTATGTGCTAGGGTCTGCGTTGAAAACCTCAGTCACAGTCAGATCTTCGTCAAGCATCGTTTCAACTACAGGAGGACGGAACTGACGAGGATATCAAGGCGAGGATCAGGAAAGCAAGGCAAGCTTTCATTACTCTCAAGTCTGTGTGGAGGATCAACAGCACTCAGCATGAAAAATAAGATCCGGATTTTCAACTCCAATGTGAAGTCAGTGCTACTTACTATACGGATCAGAGACTTGATGCGTCATGAAGAGCACTTCAAACAAACTACAGACCTTCATCAACAGCTATCTTCGCTCAGTCTTCGCTCAAGATCAGATGGCCGGCCAGAAAAGATCAGCAACAGGGATCTCTGGCAATGAGCGAAACAACTCAGCAGGAACCAATTGTGCAACAAATATGCAGGAAGAAATGGAGGTAGGTGGATTGGCTATACTCTGAGAAAACTATCAAGTGAGTGACATCACACGCCAGGCCATCACTCGAGTGGAACCCGAACGGGAAGCGGCGAGTTGGTCGTCAGTGCGAGGGTGGGGTGACATGAAGAGATGAAAGCATGTGGGCAGACGTGGAGCCATGTGAAAACGTTGTCAGACGAACCGAACGGAATGGAGACGTGCGGCTGAAGCTACATGTTCCTCTCTCTCTCTCTCTCTCTATATATATATATATATATATATATATATATATAGGGGGGTTCTGAAGGTGACAGATAAGAGATCGTGCGAGGAGGAGATAAGAGACTATAGGCGATCGTGGGACCAGCAGCTAAAGAGGACCCCGCAGAGAATAAGACAGAGTGTAGATCATGCTGTTGAAGCCCTATGTGATTATTGGTAGAACCCTCGAAGAAACTAATTTTCGCGTTCACTGCAGCGAGCTTGACAGAGTACCTTAGAAACCCATTGAGTTACTTAACTGCCGAGTAGCTGAGTAGGCGTATCGTCCACTCGGAATCCAAGGGAACAATCATATTTACATGTATATATGCTTATCTGTTTTTTCCTCTTTCTATTTCTTTTCTCTATAGGAATATGAATTAGCTATATGTTTAGCTAGAACAGGATTATACGCTGGTCAGAATGCTGTGGAAACATTACAAATAACCAACTTATACGCTATACATTTATACCATGAAATGAAATTCACTGAAGCTTTGAATTTATTCACTGAATTATTAATTAATCCTAAACATGTGCTTACTCTATTCCCTGGTATTCTGTCTGAACAACAGTTAAAACGACAGCAACAAGAACAAGGACAAATAGCAGATTATCCGTGTGAAATTTCGGTAGGTTTGTCTATTATTATTACACCATTATGGCTATTAATTCTTATTTTGTGTAGTAGTAATATTAGATTTTTCTCTTTGACATATGAGATTCTTCTTCATTCCATATATTCCAGATGGTACATTGGGCTTTAGCAGCACATCTGTGCTGTACTCTGTTCTCTGTCGTCAATTTTAACCGGCTACATGACTGCCATACAATGTTTTCTGTAACACCCATTTAGGTCCCAGTAGGAGACTTGGTGCATTCATTATATCACTCGAAGGTTTCCTCAGTGTGTGTGTAGGTTCAATCTTTTTGTATTTCCGGCAAAGTTACACGATCATAGGTTACAGGATTTCATTATGAGCTGACATTGGTTAGAGAACCATTGGAACCATTGAAAACCTGGGTTCTAGTGGGAAGTCGTGACCAGTAGGGTGCAGCAGGTCGGGTGTGAGGACGGTTGCGCCATATCGTGAATTGGTAGACGTTAGAATTCATAGGCTAGCCATTGGATTGGGTCCCAGTGGCTTAATGGTCTACGAGCTCACCTTGTAACCAGAAGGTCCTGGGTTCGAACCCCGGCGGGTGCGTACTGATGAAGAGTCCCAAGCTAGGCTGACGAAACAGCTGTCCAGTACTCCCAGGTTTTCGAACAGTTCTCTAACCGATGTCAGCTCATGATAAAATCCTGTAACCAATCAACCAAATCCCTACAAACCAATACTTGAATACTCAACGATCATAGCCAAAACCACAGTGACCTTCAACAACCAATCAGAATTCAGATAGAGAAAAGTCGCATTGTCGTTGAGAAATACACTAAAGATGGTATAAGCCTGTATAGTTGTAGCTTATGTGCTGTAAGAATGACTCCCAGTCACTATACAGATAATCTATAGAGAAATCGTACTATGCGAGATATATATATCCATTCATCCAGGTGACTGTAGGTCATGGTACTTTGAGATCCATTGATGTTTCATACACTGTTGGTTAACCTACTCCTAACTCTAACCATATTCCTAACTTTAACCCTAAACCCTAATCCTAAAAGCCTTTAACTCTACCTAACAGTACAGATTTGCAGTAAAAGTACCTAGCAAATCCAAAAAGGCAGGCATGATTTGATATAGAATGACCTTTCTTAGCATTCCCTGTATCTGATTGGTTCTTGAAGGTCAACTTTTGAAAGACCTTGACTTTGGCTATGATACTTTAACTTCGCCCCATTTCTTTTTGCATATTAGGTGTGCAATATAGAGTGTTGATTGCTTTTCTGCCTGCCAAAGTTCCTGGTTGCCTCCATCCATTCTGGTTATTCAGTTTTCAGTAACGAGTAAGGAAAGTAGCTGTTCATGAAAGTCTGCAACTGGCCTGTCGAGAGAATCGTTTAGGTGTGACTCACGCATCAAGTCTTTGAAGTATAAAAAAGGCACAAACTTGATATTATTGTTAAAAATTTTGATCTTGCTCTAATGACTGAATGTAGTAGATCATCTTCAGGATGAACGTCCCTATTTTGGCTTTAAAGTGTCCATCCGTGAGATAGACGATATTGACTGATCATTAGCTTTTTACGAGTTGATCACGGATTGATATCAGTTAGAGAACCATTGAAAACCAGCCACAGGGAGTACTGGAAAGCTGTTTCATCCTAGTTTGGAAATCATCAGCAGTATGCACACACTGGGGTTCTGACCCAGAACAATTTCGGTTAAAAGCAAGCAAGCTCGTATACCATTTAGCCACTGGGACCCGATTCAATTGCCCATTACGTAAAGAAGCAAAATTAGCAATCAAAAAATGTGGTTATTGTGTTAAGCGCAATGTCCTGATAATCTCGTGAAATATGTTCCAGTGTTGATTTTCAAGGATTTCAATATTAATCTGATGCTCACAAGTGACTGACCCTATTCAACTAGGTAGGTAGTTAGTTACCTGGGTGAGAAGTCGTGACCAGTAGAGTGGTTGGTTTACAGTAGATCGGGTGTGAGGACAAATACCCGCTACTGATGACATTGGCTAGTGCCAGTCGCGCTATATATCGTGAATTACTAGAAGTTGGAATATTCACTGGCTGTTCGTCAGTGGACAGATTAGGTCCCAGTGACTTTTAATGGTCTACAAGCTCGCTTGCCTTGTTACCGGGACGTCCTGGGTTCAAACCCTGCGGTGTGGGCGTGTACCGCTGAAGAGTCCCAAACTAGGTTTTCAAATTGTTCTCTAACCGATATCAGCTCATTATGAAATCATAAAATATGTATTTATTGCTAATACGGTGTTTACAGTATGAATAAGAAGGGTAGTCAAAATATCTGTACCCTTTTAATGAGAATTATTCACTGTACTGTAGATAAAAACAGCGTATTTTCACTCCATGTACACATTGGTTGATATTTTGCGGTTGAGTGTACTACCACTTTCACAGCGTAGTCGATTCGAGTTGATTGTTAGGCTTATACCAATTGATATCAAACAGTTAGAGCACTGCTTCTTGAGAAAGAGATTATTCATTTTTTTGTATGCAATTTTGAAGATATTATATTAAAAAATACTTAACTTCTATTTTGTATTTTTATCTATCAAAAATATTTTTTGTAAATAACAGATTATGAATTCTGCTCAAATGACTGATGCATTCGAACCACTAATCACATATCTGTTAACATGGCGACGTCTATTAAAACAACAATTGAATAAAACGCCATTGAAACAATCAAAACTATTGAACAATATAACAGAAGCAAAAGAAGAAGGAGGAGAAGGAGAAGATTCTTCTCAGTTATCATTGTCTAGCAGAAGTGGTCAACAACACCAGGCGAAGGCGTATAATAATAATAATGTAATTGAATTTCATTGTTATTCTATTAAAGATGTTAGCAAAATGATTCTACCATGTATAGAATTGTTAGAATTAATTGATACAAGCCTGTTAAAGTGTTATCTGTCGACGAATACAGCTCGTGTTGCACCATTACTACGTCAAGAAAATGTATGTATGCTTGAAGAATCAGTGAAAACACTATTGGAGCATAAACGTTATCAAGTAAGCTTTGTCTTTGTTGTTGTTGTGGGTTGTTATTGTTGTATGTTATTTTCATCATGTTGGAATGAATTAATCGACTTGTAGGTAGCTAGTTAGTTGTCTTACGCGGCGGTACGGTTGAGTAGATAGAGTCTATCTCCCTCATTTGAAGTCACACTGAAACGGTAGAAGACGAAGACACTTGGTAAAGGAATGTTTATTTAGAAATTGGTATCTCTATATAGCCAAATTATGTATACCTTATCTTCAACGCCACACCATTTGTGCACAGATATTCCGTTTTGATGTTTTTGTGTTCTCTGAGCTGGATAGTTAATTTGCGAAGCTTTCATTATTGACCTACTAGGCAACATCTTCAGCGCATACTTCAATTTGAAGGAAGTGAGCTTTTAGATTTCTCCACGAGTTTATTAATCATCTCTCCCGGTGACTTTGGATGTGATTGGTTGTTTTTGTGTGTTTTCACACCTTCTAGGCTACTTGTATGGGAACTGATTGTTTCTTTGACTTGAACTTTGACCCTTTGTGTGTGAAGTTTCTTTCGTATCGGTTGATAAATTTTGTCAATCTCGATGTGTCTATTGATTGATGATTCACTGGAATACCAAGCTTCTAAAAATTCTCTAGCATTCTTGTTGTTTCCTCTGTCTAATATTTGAACGTTGGTTGTCCCAGTCGATTTGATTTCCATGGTTGTCTGTATGTGGCGAGTGGTATGAGGGAGTGGATATCATGTCTTTTGACAGCTAGCTTATGTTCGTGGATACGAAGACGAAGGGGACGTTCACTTTGACCAATGTAGTGTTTTTCGCAGTTGATACAATCTATTTTGTCGATGATGTTGGTTTCATCTTCTTTGGCTGTTGAGTTTTTTTGGTTGATACAGAGTTGATTGAAGTGATTTTGTTGGCTTATGTGTGACATCAATTCCTAAATGTGTTTGAAGGGTGTTGCAGTGATTTCTGAGATATCCTTTATATATGGTAAGGCGATTTTCCGTGTGCTTTCCTTGGGGGCTTTTGGTTTGACAGGTTGGCTTGCAGGTATATGTCTTTTGATGAAATTTCGTGGATATCCATTTTTTTGGAAGACGTCCATGAGATGTCTCTCTTCAATTCTCCTTAAGGTGGGAGTGCTGCAAAGAGTCCTGCCCCTCTTGAATAGTGTTTGTATGCAATTCCTTTTGTGTGTTATCGGATTGTTGCTGTTGTAATTCAGTATTTGATCTGTGTGAGTTGATTTTCTATAAACTTGGGTTTCTAATTCCCCTGTGGTTGTTCGCTTGACTAAGACGTCCAAAAATGGGATATTCCGTGTTGTGCTACTTCTGGCCACCCTTCATACTGTGTTTCTTTGTGGTTCCTTTAACGTCTTCCATGTGTCTTCGCAACGGTGAATCATTTGCTTTCTCTGACTAACGTCAAATCTACCTCCCTGCTATTTGATGTTTGTATGCCGATAAATGTCTCTTTACATACTACTGATAAATCTTATCAGTAGCACTCGCCACAACACCATTAAGCTGTTTAAACTGCTATTTATCTTCCAATGTAAAATTTATTCTTCCACAAAAGTGTAGCATTCCAAGTTAACACAATTCAATACAAAGTAGAGTAGAGAGACGCAAAAAAGAACTATGGTAAATGCAAATAAACGGGGACAAGGATAATTGCATAGAGAATCATGAGAATTTAGTAGATGTGAAAGACTACAAGGATTTTATGCAGGATTTTGAGCCATATAGTCAACAGTCTCCAGACACGTATTCTTAGCGTCGTACAGATCCTCAGTCAGGCAGTGTACAACTCACTACATGGTTCAAACTGAAAGTCTTCATGGATTGATTTCATCACTTCTAACTCTTTTCCAACCTAATTCTGTGTTGGCTCTTTTTAAAGATGGTGGCAAGATTTCTCGTCATGGCTTTGACCGGTTTGTTCAGGAAAGTATGGGGAATTTAGGGTGTGCTATCATTGTGAGATGAGGCCATCATTGTCCCCATCTGTAAAAAGGGTCGACGCGACAACCATAGGTCCAAATCAGTTTGCTACCAATTGCGTCTAAAATACTGACTGCTGTCTTGCTTCTCAGGCTGGGTTTGAATCAGGTTGTGGATTCATTGATCATGTGTTCACCCTTCGTCAGTTGTTGGAACACTGCCATACTTATTGCAGGCCAACAATCGTTGTGTTTCTTGATATTAGGGCTGCCTTCGATTCGTTGGATAGAACTGTATGTTAAGGAGGGATGTACTTAAGAAGTTTGTCAACATCCTCAGGTAGAGTGAAGGCATACAACCAAATATTATCACTGTGGGGTTAGACAGGATTGCCCGATCTCTCCATTTCTCTTTAACTTTGCCATCGATGACATTCTGGAGTCAGCTCTGAAGGACGTGCATGAAGGTGAAGAGAGAATTTTCGGCCTCGAGTATGTAGACGATGTCATCTTACTGTGTGATAGCATGCAGACTGCCAAAATCGCACTTAATCAGTTAGCGATCAGTGTTTGTAAGTATGGTATGTGCTTTGCGCCATCTAGGTGCAAGGTTCTGTTACAAGATTGGTAAGAATCTGTATCTGCGTTAACTCTTCCAAGTGAACCGCTTGAATTTTTCCATGAGTTCGTGTATCTTCTGGGTAGTTGTGTGAGTTCTGGCGGAGGTGGTACGGACGAGTTTCCCAGCCGTCTCATGAAAGATAGGATGGCATAAGTCAGCTTGAACCACCTCTGGCGCCGTCGCGACGTTAACCTGGCTATCAAAAGTCGGGTTTCGCAATGCTTCGGTGCGTGCTGTCTTACTCTCCGCCTGCGAAACCTGACCTCTCCGAGCTGAGGATGTGCGGTAACTCTGCGTATTCAATCGTCGCTGTCTCTGTAGGATTGTTTGCGTTCGATGGTGTCATCGCGTGAGTAATTCTGAGGTTCGGCGGCGTGTGTTTGAACACAGTGGATACCACTATTCATTGAGTGTCGTCATCTGGAAACACCGGCCCTGAAGGCTTGGACATGTACTTCGAATGTCATCCGAGAGGCTTCCGTACCGGTCGGTCTGCGTTCACTAGCTCTTGGACGGGATGGAAAAGGCGGAAAGGTGGTCAGCTCATGACGTGGCATCGTGGGATGAAAGATATTTGTGTTAGGTTAGCATCGGTTGGTGAGTCAATCATGACTTCCTGGTTGGAGTCCAAGAGATAGTTCGAATCGGTGGTTGCTCGAAACGTTATCGGATATGGTCGAGAATCGCAATCACCAAGCGCAAACGTGCTGCAGTTTCTTTCTTTCTTCCCTTCCTGAAAATAATTCGACGAATGCTGTTTGGTTTTGTCAAATACAACTGTTTTCTTCGCAGATAAAATTCTTTATTCATTCTTTACCTAATTTTTTCTCATATGTTATTTTATTATTATTGTGTGTCGCGTCTTCTTGGTGCCATATTGTACTAGGTTTTGTGTTTTAAATAATTTTAAATAAAATAAAGAGAAAGCAAGAACTACAGTTTTTGCAGAATCAAGTAGTACCACCTTTTATTTCGTTGCCTTCTCGTCAGCTGCTTACAGGCCAAAGTCATTATTAAATATATCTACAAAAAAATTTTCAACATACTTGCACAGAGTTCATTTTAGACAAAAATCAATCGATCAATATATTCATACTATAATATATGTATAATATTAAACACTATTCCGAAACAATGGAAACTTTTCAGCACTTCTCATTCAGATGAAAGAGAGATGAAAAATATCCAGTTACCAGGGCAAAGAAGGACTGATAACCGCTTCTTTCTGGATGCATAAATCAGGTTTCAGGCACTTGATAGAAATGGCTTCAGGAAACTTGAGGAGAATTGAGCTCTTTCGCCTATTGATAATTTTGAACGACTTTTCGACGTCCACCTCATGACCCGTATTATCAAGGAGATGCCTGGCATTGACACTGTTTAAAGAATTTGTTCCTTTTAGACGTAAGCTTTTTGGTACATGTTCAGAAAATCGTAGATATGCCCTTTTTTCCGTTCTCCCACTGTTGTAACTGCTCCCGCAGATACATGTAAATTTGTATATGCAGTTGGAGTTAACATGAGAAGGATATCTTTCTATCGATTTATGATTGCACCAAAGAGCAAGTTGTTCGATAGACGGGGACGAGCTTAGCTGCAGGATAGGCTCTGGCTAATGATGTACTCAACCTTCTGTTGATCATTGCTGCAATGTTTTCACCTTAATAATCAAGCTGAATGTAGATTGGCTTTTTTTTAACCCCTGTGATATTTGTTTTACATTTGTGACTTCAGATCTTCCATACTTGTTGATGAACCTTTGAGGGTACCCATTGCTCTTCAACATACTTTCAAGAAACTCATATTCTTCCTCTAATTTCTCTGTAGAGCATTTTCTCCTCGCTCGATAGTACAGAGTCTTGACTAGTCCGCGTTTAAAGCTATTTGGACAAAAGTTATTAAAATGTTAGTATTGTCCTTTCCACGTATACCTTCGATAAATTGACTTCTGAAAATAAAGAGAATGATACCTTTGAATCGTCGATATCTTCGGTAGACTTCTGTCCCCTGTCATTTTTAAAAATTTCTGTTACCATTATTCTCTTAGTTGCATTTCTTCAAGTGTATTGAACACTTGGCTTTTTTTTCTACTTTTTTTCCTCCCTCTCTGAAGGAATTAGTTATGTTGTATCAGTCACGTGGATTACATCGTGAAGCACTGTCTATACTACAACAGTTCAGTACAGCACGTATGAAACATCATCGTACTGGTGGTGGTGGTGGTGGACTGCTGGTGACAACAACAACAACCACCGATGCATCATCACCAGTAAATATGATTACTTTAGATGATAAACTTCATAAATCTGGATTAATTCAACAACTTGGTCATCCAAAACGTATATTGCATTATTTCCTGCAATACTTGAACGCTAGTCATATTGACTTGTTAATCGATTATACAAAATGGCTTATGCTGCATTATCCAACTAGTTGGATGCGTATTTTATCAAATTGGGAAGCGAAATTAACAGCTAAATATCAAAGTCAGTTTTCAAGCAATACAGCATCGTCATCATCATCATCAATTGATGCAGTTAAACGAGGTAGGTAAGTGTTTTTATGCGCTTTGCTTTTGCTATTTCATGTCTTATCTAAGACTATGTGGTGGGAGTCTCTTTCACAAGTATATGTCAGATGAAATTTTGCTGACGAGCAGTTACTCCCGATTGTGGATAGTTTTCTTCGGCAATCAAGACTCTACTGCTAATCTACTATATATGTGTAGCCAGTTATAAATCATATGTCTTGCACAGTTGTTACGTAAATGAGAGGTAATTGTTGTTGTCCTGTTGACACCTAGTTATCATACATTTATTCCCCTTGATGAATTTGAATAAAGCAAGAACAACAGTTTTTGCAGAATAAAATGGTACCATCATTGCTTATTTCGTTGGCTTCTCATCAGCTGCTTACAGGCCAAAGTCATTAATTATTAAATATATCTACAAAAACTACTTTAACATACTTGCACACAGACTTCATTTTTAAAGGAAAATCAATCAATATATGTATACAGTGCCAATAATAATAAACATTTTATTCCACACAATAATGATCATACACAATGGAAACTTTCGGCATTACGTATTCAGATAAAAGAGAGGGTGAAAATATCCACTTAACCAGGACAAGAAAAGACTAATAACGGCTTCTTTCTGAACACATAAATTGGCTTTCAGGCACATAATAAAGATGGCTCCTGCAAACTTGAGGAGAATTCACCTTATTTGTCTATTGATGATTTTAAAGGATTTTGCGATTTCCACCTCATGACTCGTGTCAAGGAGATGTCTGACAGTGCCACCGTTGAAAGCATTTGTTCCCCGCTGGAGACATAGGCTTTTTGGCACGTGTTCAGAGAATCGGAGGTGTGTGTGCCCTTCTTCTTTCTGTTCTCCGGATGTGACTGCTTCCGCTGATACATGTAAATTTGTATACACAGTTGGAGTTAACATGAGAAGGGTATCATCTGTCGACTTTTAACTGCATCAGAGAGCATGTTGTTGGATAAACGGGAACGAACTTCACTATCTGCAGGATAGGCTCTGGCTAGTAACGTACTCAATCTTCTGTTGACAATTGCTGTAATATTTTCACCCTTAAAATCAAGTTGAGTGAAGATAAGCTTTTTTGTTTAAAATTGAACTCTCTGTGCAAGTATGTTAAAATCATTTCTGTAGATATACTTAAGCAAGCATCTGATGAGAAGCTAACGAAATAAGCAATGATGGTACCTTTTTATTCTGCAAAAACAGTTGTTATGGAACTAGTGATCAATTCACCAGTGTAACCTAACTAGTTGTTCGCCGAACAGTTAACTCATTGGCTGGAGAATTCTGTCGTGCATAAAGATATCTGTGTGTAATCAGAAACTCCTCTGCATGATAGTTAGTACCGTAGGTTACGAGGCACTTCTACTTACGAAGATGGTAGTTACCAGATAGAGTTACTCATCTCTCTCTCTCTCTTCATATACTATTGTTATTAATATTATTAAAAAAAAGTAATCGTTACCCCTACGCTTATCACCCATACTGTATATTGTAACTCGAAGCCTGGGAGGTAATTTTTACTGGGTATACTGACTGACCAAGCAGTGGTATTAATAAATTACAGAGTTGTTTTTGTTACCAAGGAGGCGGGGGATAGAGTGAATTTTCTCTGTCAAGTGAATCAAATGACCATTAGACTAAGTGGGCTAATCATCATGTGTGTGCGTCGCGTGTTAGATAGTTGAGAAACAGTCTTCAAGATATTGATCTTACTGGAAAATGTCCTTTGGAGAAATGGTTCATTGAGACAGTGTTTCCACGGTTCGAATTCTGCTCCTCGAAATTATACTTTGGTAGCTATAAGTAGTGTCATCAACTCTCAAACAATATATGCCACTCATAGTGTGTTACATCAGAACCCTTAGAATTCAATTTCAAAGTCACTATACTGTTCTAGAGGGAGCCACTGGATTTTCAACTACACTATAAAATACATCAATAGGATTTGTGTCAGATCAAACCAACCAACATTGTGTTATTTATTATGCTGAAACTGAACTAAATTCCCAGTGTAGAACTTCGCACTAAAGTGTGTAGACTAAGCGGTGTGCTGGCGAGAAATAAACTCATGACGACTTTAAAGCCTACAAAGTCTAGTCTCGTGAGTGACAAACTTAATGGTGAACGACACTTGCTACATCCTCCTGACCTGAAAGTCGTATTTGACTCTGTCAATCTAGAGGCGGCACTGTAGCAATTTAACAGTGAATCTTTGCTTTCTCTTGTAACAACAGAAGACAAGGGCAAGGCAACAGATCGTTTATTGAGAAAATCAACAGATATTTATAGATTTTCATGTGGATTATTGTCGGCGGAGAAGAAACGTCTTCTGATTGGTTGTTTTCTTGCTGAAGGTTATTCTGTATTGCTTTGTGACCGTTTCTCAGAAAATTAGGCCATATATTAGCGAATCATATTTCCACACGTTAAGTCCGCTGTGATTGGCTGGTGATTTCCTCAAGGTTAAGCTTCGTTATTGTTTTTCTCATGACGCTCATTCAGGATGTGAACATTTACGTAAATGTTGTCTAGAATTTTGGCTTGCAGACAGCTCTCACCACACTCTGACTGACATCAAATCTATCTCCCTGCTGATGAACGTCTCTTTATATACTACTGACAAATCTTATCAGTAACACATGCCACAACAATCCCTGGCTGTTAAAGGTGTGCCAAGAAAGTATATAGCATTACTAATCAGAGATGCTCTATTCACATCCAGAAAGTAAATTTTTGATGAATTAAAAATTATTATTATTGTCTTGAAACCGATCATCTCTCACTCTTTCTCTTATCACACACATCTTTAAATGTTTCAATTGTTATTGTATATTTTTGTTTTCCATATTAGTTTGTTTATTAGATGTATCACACAGTGAGTGAAACAGTATTATTTACTGGATGATACAGTTTCGAACAAAATTTACTACTGTTCATAATCATATCGTCAATTATAATCACACGACTTCGACACTTGAGTTTATATAGTTTTTTTTGTCCTCTCCTATTTGTCCTAGGAGTATAAGAATTTTCCACAAACTCAATTAGAAACAAGCTTTGTCGGTTAAAGGATCAATCCTGTGGAGCCTTTAAAACAAAACAATTTAGTTTATCTAATACACTGCCTGCAATGATTGTCAGGTCAAATACATAGGTCAAACTAGTAGAACAGGGGCAGTCAGACTAGCTGAACATAAAAACCTAGCAGCAAAATCTAGATTGGTTGACCCAAATAAGATAAGAAATCTAGAGAATAGTTCAGCTATAGCACTCATTACATGCAGTTACACACAACCATACAATAGGCTCGATGGGATAAGATGACAGTTTTAAAATCTAATGTTACAGGGTGGGAGGGAGAGACTGATGTCAACGGAAGCTTTGTTTATCAAATCAACTGCAAATACATGTAATAGGAATGATTCAACACCTGTCCATCCAGATATCTGGAAAATTCTACTACCCCAACGACGATAAAGTAAGAGAGAACAAAGAAAACTATAAAACTCAAGTTTCGAAGTCGTGTGATTATAATTGACGATATGATTATGAACCGCAACAAATTGTGTTCGAAACTGTGTCATCCAGTAAATAATACTGTTTCACTCACTGTGTGGTACATCTAATAAACAAACTAATATGGAACTATTACTTACTACCACAGTGCCCACCCGGCCGATAACTGCTACCTTGCCGTGGTGATCGGGCTTGAATGCCGCAGTGACCCAACAAGCTAAACTGGCTGTGACTCATGTCCCTGCAGGTCCTACCATGCCAGGAAGGTTGTTTGGATAGTGGTTAGACTAAAAGCAGTTACCATGGGGTACATGGGCTCCAGAATCCAATCGGATCAAATGGCGTACGAACCCATATGGGTCACCGGCAACCATGGGAACGCAGCACCTGACGCTGCTCCGCTGCCTTGCGGATTAGACTCCAAGTCAAAGGCTCGGGAGGTGGTCCCTTAGGAAAACCACCTGCTTCGGTCTGGGTGCCCGGACAGTATCTCAGCCCTCACACAATAAATGAAACAATAAATAAATGAACCACATTGCCCAAGTTTTTACACATATATCTTTTTGTTTTGTTTTATTTTTATTGATTAGATGAATTTATAGCCTTCTGTTCAAATTATCGTAATCAAATCTTACAATATATGGAACAATATGCACCGCATTTGATTATTCCCTATCTAGAATTGATTATATTCGTGCATTGGAATAGCCGACACAGTAGTGGTGATGATGACGAGGACGAGGACGATGAAGAGGAGGTGGAGGCTGAGGAGGAGGAAGTGGATGACGAAGATGACGATGTAGAGGAGGATGATGTAGGAGTTGAAGAAGATGAAAAAATCGGCAACAATGACGGTGTTGGTGATAGTAGCAGAGATGATGATAGTAATGAAAGGCTGGAACCAGGTGATAACAGTTGTATCATGAACAGTACTGATGATAGTATAGAGAATAAAATCAATAATGGTGATGCTGCTGCTGCTGATGCTGAGGAATTATTGCATAAACAGAAATCTAAGCCTATTTCAATTGTTCAACAATCTGAACATCATGGATCAGTAGGAAAACACAATGTATCGAAAAAAATTATTGAACACGCCTCGAATAAATCTAGTCCTGCGAATAATATATTAGGCTGTAGAGTGGCTAGTCTGTCACAGCTGTCATGTAATTCTATGGATTCAACACAATCTGGATATATGTCTCCTGGTAAGGTATGTATTTACTATTGCATATTTTAGAGGATATTTAAAAAAATTGTTTATTTAAGTAGCTTTCGATATGATGGAGAAGATTTGTAGCTCAGGTGGATGATTTTGATGTGGTTGTGTTCTCTGAGCTAGCTGGATAGTTAATTTGCGAAGCTTTCATCGCCCTACTAGGCGACATCTTCAGCGCATACTTCAATTTGAAGTAGCTTTCGTCACGATTACTATCGATCCAATGGCTAAATCGTTACGTGAAGATCCTGTGGGTTTGAGCATTGGGGAAGGGAACAATTGATACGTATAACTGAAGAGTCTTTATCTATGGCGAAACAGTTAGTTAGTGTAATGTGTCTAGTTCTTTGTTCGATGAAGACTGAATTCTATCAGTCAGCTTTGCAGTGTGGCGGCCACCATACCACTAGGTGGCTTGCCATCACGGTGCACTGTGAATTGTTGATATTAGATGGTTAGAGGCAATCGACAGAAGGCCTTACCTGCCCTAGTTTTCGTGCTTGTTGTCACTCACTTATCAACAAGGCGTATTATATATCTCCGCAACGCTGTATCATTTGCTTTCTCTGACTGACGTCAAACGGATCTCCCTACTGTTCGAAGTTTTTTTATGCCGATGAACGTCTTTATATACTACTGATGAATGTTATCAGTAGCACACGCCACACTCGTCCTTCTATCAAATAGTTTCGAACGCAGCCGCTCCGACCTTCTTTATTCTACTTCTTCCTGTTGTATCTTGGTCCCGACTTCCCTACCCCACTGAATCCGTTTTTGCAGTTGTCTGATGTTAACCCTTTTCTGCTGATTTCGACGTCTCTCGGTTACGGTGAATGGCTCTCCCCACTTCGGGAGTAGTTTCTGTGAACCGGGCCTCACACCTACTTGCGTCTTTTCTTTCTCTACACTTCACTTGATTTCCGACGTCAAAGGTACTGCATCGCATCTTCTCTCCTTGTTCTGATTTCATGGCGTCTTTCCGTTCCGTTTGCAGCCTCGTCATATTCCACTCCGTATCGAGGAGCCAGGTTGTGTTGTGTATTATTGGCAGTCGTGGTTTCATCCCATACATCAACTGAAATGGTGACTTCTTTGTTGTTTCGTGGGTGGACGCACGATGTACCAGCAGAATTCACACCTGTGCACACCACTTGTGTACACGTCAGATCTTCCGTGTTGTTCTACTTCTGGCCACTCTTCATACTGTGTTTCTTTGTGGTTCCTTTCACGTCTTCCATGTACTTATCTCCACAACGCTGTTGTATCATTTGCTTTCTCTGATTGACGTCAAATCTATCTCCCTGATATTTGGTGTTTTTTTATGCCAATGAGCCTCTCTTTATAAACTACTTACAAATCTTATCAGTAGTACACACCACAGTTCTACAACATTATGCTTTCCAGTAATTGATATTCTTTTTGTATGCCTATTATTATATATTATAATTATTATTATTTTCATTTTGTATTATTTGAAAGCGTTCAAGTGTCTTTAAAGAGATGATATCCAGCTCTCTATGGCCATTACCTTCTGTGAAAAGGTCTAAACAACGACGTTTAACTACATCAACAATGAATAGTTTATCAAAAGTGGATAATTCTACCGTGAACACGAATGATTTGGATGCTTTACCTTCGATACCAAATTATCCTGCTTATATGGATGTATGCGATATACATACACGTTATGCAATGGCATTAATGTAAGCAGTGAATGTTTTTTTCTCCTAAATTTCATTTTAACTATTACGCAATTAGTGTGTGTGTGTTTGTGTGTGTAAGTTCTACATTTAAAAGTGGAGGGTTGTGATCAATCGTATCAACTGAATGGGGTTGTGAGAACAAATACTCACTCAATGAAACATTAACATGTTTGAGTGCATGGAGAATTTCATCATGAGCTGACTTCAGTTAGAGAACCACTGGAAAACCTGGGAGTACTGGACAGCTGTTTCGTCAGCCTAGTTTGGGACTTTTCAGCGGTACGCACCCACCGGGGTTCGAATTCAGGGCCTTCTGGTTACAAGGCGCGCTCGTAGACCATTGAGCCACTGGGACCCGATCCAGTGGCCCATGAATTCTAACTTCTGCCAATTCACGACATAGCGTGACCATTTCGCAATGTCTTCTTTGATGAGTTACTGCCTCATCTTCAACCTGCTGTACCCTACTGGTCACGGCTTCCCACTGATGTCAGCTCATGATGAAATCCTCCATGCAATCAAACAAAATCCCTACAAAACCAATAATTGAACATTAACATGTGATGATGCTTATAAATTGCGAATTGGCGAAATTTAGAATGCATGAGCCACTGTGAATGGTTCAGAATGGTTCGTAACCTGAATGTGCTAGAGTTTTGGTCAGTCATGGAAGTTGTGGGTTCTCAATGCTGCTGATGTCTCAAACTAGGACGAAACAACTGTTCACTACTCTGTCCTGGTTTTCTATGGATTTCATTTGAAAACAACGAAATCCCTGCAATCTAACATTTGAAACCATTAAGCCACTGGGATCTGATTCGGTGACCAGCCCGTGAATTCCAACGTCTGTTAATTCACGATATAGTGCGACTTGCACTAGCCAATGTCATCGCTGGCGAATAACTGTCCTCATATCCGACCTGCTGTACCCCATTGGTCACGACTTCTCACTGGAACCTAGATAACTAACTACCTACCTAGCTGATTAGGGACCCGACCGATAGCTGCTACCTTGACGTGGTGGTCGGGCTTGCATATCGCGATGACCCAACAAGCTGCACTGGCTAGAACCAATGTTCCTGCAGGTCCTACTATGCCAGGAAGGTTGTTAGGATAGCGATTAGATTAAAAGCAGTTACCGGCTTACTGTACACTATGCTGGGGGTCTGAGGGCGAAGTCATACTGCTGAGGAACAGGGGTGTACCAGCAGTGAGGTGTTTCCCTCAGATGACCAGCATGTCCGATATGCTGTCTCCCCACTCTGGAGAGAGGGGGTTAGAAATGGTCGACCCCAAAAGTTGTACATCCCGAATTGCCCTACGGTGGTCCATAACCGGCGGCTGATACGGAACCAAACCAAGAAACCAGTTCATAGAGGCCGTGTGTGACCGGCTGGCCTCAAGCAATTGTCCCCTGGGCTCTGTGGCCACGCAACACTAACCCTCTCTCTGTTTCAGGTACCCGAAGAACCAATCAACTTCCACGGTGTAGGCAGCTGGGAAGTAACAACCGCCCACATACTTCCAAGAGCACACGAAGCTTTCCTGAGCATCATTCTCCTTTACTCACATCACCTTCCTCATCTTGCTTCTCTACTACAGTTAGTACTATTCTGCAGGCTAGTGAGTCATCTTCACTTCGTTCTGTGACCACAAACAACAGTGAGAGCCATAGAAACACCCCAGATAGCCTTTTAAAGCCACGTCGCCAACTTCATATAGGAGCATTTAACGTCAGGACCCTCTGCCTTCACTTCGCTGATTAGGGCCAGTCACTAATGAGCATCAGATTGATATTCGAGTGTTGGTTGGCAGGGATTTGATCTGATTTGTTACAGGATTTCATCATGAACAGTGACTAGTGGGTTACAGCAGATCGGGTTTGACGACAGATAGTCGCCAATGACACTGCCTAGTGGTTGCGCCATATCGTGAGTTGGCACAAGTTGTAATTCATCGACTGACTGGTCATTGGATCAGGTCCCAGTGGTCTAATGGTCTACGAGCGAGCTTGCCTTGTAACCAGAAGGTCCATGGATTAAACTCTGTCTGGGTGCGTGCTGATGAAGAGTCCCAAACTAGGCCGAAACAGCTGTCTGTGCAGTACTCCCTGGTGGTTTTTCAACGGTTTTCTAACCGAGTTCTTTAACCAATCAAATCAAATCCTTACAAACCAACATTTGAATAACACTTGAAAATTAGTGAATACGCTTATGTACTAAGTTTTTTATCATTTCCAAATCAATTTTTTAAAAAAAATGTTTCTTTTTCTCTTTCAGTCGTAGAGCACAATCATTACAGCCAGCTAATAAATCATTTGCATTTAAAGTTAATGAAGAACAACCTAAATCGGGTAGTGTAGCACGATTACGTCTACGCTTATTACGGTTCCTTATGCATCCTGGTACACAGTATTCTTCAGCTCGATTATTAGATAAATGTCCGTATGATGCGTTTTTTGAAGAACGTGCATTATTGTTGGCTAACCTGAATAAGCATGAACAGGTAAGTTATATGTATACGCTGTTGAATAGACTGCGTCTACTGTATATCTTTTTATGGTTGTCAATTTTGTTCTACCCGTATTTTACTAGCACTTACTGCTTCAAACTCCAAAGGGCGTATCCACTAGGCCACTGTAAGCTGAACGCTGTATATAGTGGTAGTACAGTGAGTATAAACTTTTGATTGGAAGGTTTCATCATGAGCTGACATCATTTAAAGAACCATTGGATAACCTTGGATTTCTGGACAGCTGTTTCGTCAGCCTAGTTTGGGACTCTTCAGAAGTACGTACCCACCGACAGGGTTCGAACCTCACGACCTTCTGGTTACAAGGCCGGCGAGCTAGCTCGTAAACCATTAAGCCACTGGAACCCGACTGATCAAACGGCCAGTCCATGAATTCTAACTTCTGCCAATTCAGGCATGACATAGCGCGACCACTTCGCGGTGTCTTCTTCGATGAGTTACTGCCTCACCTTCAACCTGCTGTACCCTATTGGTCACGGCTTCCCACTAGAAACCCAGGTAACTGCCTACCTGAATAAGGCCAGTCGCTAGTGAGCATTAGATCAATTTTCAAGTATTGGTTTTTTTGTAGGGATTTTGTTTGTCTGATTGGTTGGAGGATTTCATCATGAGCTGACATCAGTTAGAAAACCATTGGAAAACTTTAGACTTTTCAAAATCGTTTCCTTGTTTTAAGTGTTTTCAAGGCTCTTTAAGCTGAATGATTCAACTACCAGGCTTTCGTTATCCTTTTAGGCGTGACATCTTCAACATGAACTTCAGTTCAAAGTAGTCAGCTTCGGGAATTATCTATTATCGATCGATCACCTTTACCTTTGATTGATTGTTCTCATAGATTTTCTTATCATTGTATCAATTTTTTGATATCGATCCTGTCGTTGATCACCTGATATTTGACTTTTGGTTGTGTGTGTGTGTGTGTGAAAAAACACTGTATATTGGCCACAGTAGACATTGCTCTCTATCTTCGTACCGATGACAGCAAACTAGAAGTTGAAAGGCATGACATGTATAGGTTCACATCAATCCCTGTGGACAACTACGAACATTATTCAACCGGGAGAAATGGTAAAATCTCAGACAGAAGAAATACAGCAAACATCTGTTAGATCCTAGAAACGTGATACTCAACTCAATTTGCAATCAATAGACTTTCAGTAACAGATCAGACTTACCAATTAATTAAATTAGTTCACACTATTGAAAGGTCAAGTTTGAGTTCAACAAGAGGATCAGTATCATCAAAACAAATGAATACAGTTATAAAGAAGAGGTCAACAGGAACAATCATTCACAGTTCAGATTACCAGGAGATATAAATATCTCATCATCTGGTTAACAGTGAAACTGCTGTCCAGAATGAATAACACTGAAAGCTGTGCATCTGAACTATCGTGATCAGTGAGCACAAGAACACTGAAAGGGGACGCCCACATGAACTATAAATCCGTTGTTATAATGTAAACAACTTCTCATCCGTCTCAATAAATTTCATATCCAAATTGACAAAGGTAAGATTTCATGGGTCGTAGTGATAAAATGCTCACCAGACTCCCCTCGTCGTAATCTGAAAATCCTGGGTTTGATTTCCTGTGGAGTGGTCATGAATGCTTAATGCTGAAGAGTCCCAAACAAGGGCGAAACAACCATCTAGTACTCCCCTGGTTTTTTCAGGGTTCCTTTCACTAATATCAATCTGTGATATTATTATTACTTTGATGAAATAAAGACTCAATCATGTTGTTATAAAATAAAAAAATCTTTTCAAAAGAATGGTTACTGAACAAACAATATTCTTTTCGATAACCTGCTCATCAGGTTCTACATATATATATATATAATGGAACCATTAGGGTTATGAATAGTATTAATGTTGTTCAAATAACATCAAATCATTCAATAGTTTGATTAGATTAGGGTTCAATAACATCAATATAACAGTACACTGAATATCAGACAGACAAATTAGGAAAGATAATAGTAATACAGAATTCATGAATTTCTAGTTTCCACTGAAGGCCAACCAGGGCAGTAGTAGTGGCTGGACTTATTTTTTCTACACACAGAGCACGGATTGTTTAAAGCGAATCGCGATAGTGTCAGATGTTTGGAGTATGTGGTACCTGGCTGTTTTCGGCAATTTATTTGGTACCATTTGTGCACAGATCTGAGTGGCATGCTACTTCCGCACTTCCTTAATATTGTGTCTTTGTGTTCCTTTCACGCCTCCGATGTATCTCCACAACTCTGTATCATTTCCCTATTCTGACTGACGTCAAATCTATCTCCCTGCTATTCAATGTTTTAATGCCGATGAACATCTCTTCGTAACTTACTGATAAATCTTATCAATAGCACTCGCCACAGAGTGAGTTTTATTGACCGTAGCTCTAGGAACTTGATTTTTCGTGCTCCCTTGGGAATATCTGCCAGTGTGGCTAAATAAAGGTGTAGTAAAATCCGTCAACAGTTCCTATATTCGACCATCTGATGCATATCGACCACAAAGCAAGCATTCAGGAATCCTTCTATATCATCTATTGGGTACCAAATGAATTGCCGAAAGCATCCAGGTACCGCATACACCACACAGCAGAGGCTATAGCATTTCACCTTGAGCAACCAGTGCTCTGTGTGCAGAAGAAGTAAGTCCAGCCACTACTACTGCCCTGGTTGGCCTTCAGAAGAGATTACAAGTTCATGAATTTGTATTATTATCTTTCCTAATCTGACTGTCTGATATTCAGTGTGTATTGTTATGTTGATGCTATTGAACTGTGATCCATTCATGTTATTACTATTATTGTTGATTTAATGTTATTTAAACAACATTAATGTTGTTAATAACACTAATTCATTCATTATTATGTATATATATAAGTGTAGAACCTGATGAAGAAGGGGCTATCGAAAAGAATATTCTTTGTTCAGTAATCATTCTTTTGAAAAATAATTTAATGGACATTTTTAGTCAGTTCAAATATGAAATTTTTATGTAACAACTTGCTGTTTTATTTTTCCGCTCTTCATTCTATCCATTTTAGGCACTTTCCTTATGGGTTCATGTGTTAGACGATTGGAATAGAGCAGTAAATCATTGTATAAATGTTTATCAAAGAAGTGAATTGTCTTCAATTTGTAAAAATAATCAAAACAATAATAGCAACAATAATGACAATGATACAAAGCGTGGTGGTGGTGGCGGCGCTGGTGGTGGTGTTGATACTGTAAACACAGATTATCCTAACAATTCTCATTCTTCTTCTCATCATGGTGCAATCAACTCTAGTGATAAACATTCAAATTCATCATCTTCATTAAATCGTCATAATTCTTTAAATTCCCTCGATAATTCATCGTTATTAGATTTAAACAACAATAACAACCATAACAACAGTAATACAAATCATGAAACATTGAACACTGATAATCATCATCATCCTTTCTATGACTATTGTAATAATTCAAATATCTTTTTTCTGTTGATACAAATATGTCTTCAACCGACAGAGCCAACATCTTTAGGCATTGTTCTACCATGTAAGTTGTAATATTTTTTTTAGTTGGTATGGAGGATTATACACGTCCTTGTTGTTGTTGTTCTCCTCGAGATATCTGCCTTCATTCATCCTGTTGATTTACTGTTTTTCCCGTATGATCAGATTGCTCACATGTCAGACTGTGAGCTACACTTATTGTGTGTGTATGTGAATTGATGATATTCATATCTATATGTCGAGGCTAGATTAGTAGTAGAGTAGGTGGGTCACTTTGTGAAATCTTACACACTATACGTGCTGGGAGAATAAATACCTCGAGAAGGTGACGAAACTGCTGTATTCTTATCACAAGTGTGTGTGCTGTTATTATTATTTTTTTAATTATTTTATTTATTTATTTATTTAGGACTTTAAGCTAGAGGCTTGAAGTTTCAATAGCAGTGGTGCTTATTTTTACGGGGTAGAGTTGCTAGCTAGCTTCCTCCCCAACCTTCCCTCCTTACCAGTCTTATTACTGGCTTAGTGAGGTGAAGGAGTGCCTCTGTGGCCCATGGTTAGCGAGCATTCTACCGCTGTGCCACCGGTGCACTGTGTTCTCTGTGGTTGCTAGATTTTAACCCTACATTCTTTTAGTCGCTTGAGGGAGTATCGCATTTCACGGACTGCTTTAATAAAATCAAACTGAAGTCATTTGAATCGAATATGCTTGTTATTATTGCTTAAAGCTATTGGCGGAAACTTTCAGTTGTAGACGCATCTTGTAAGGTTTCATTGAAAGCGGTAAACATTATACGATTAAATGTTTCAGAGTGAGCAACTGTTAGGTACTCAATGGGCTTTTTGTTTAAAGTCAGCCAACCACGACGAACAGGTCTTTCATGTGCTGCCAGGCCATGAGCCACACATTTATTGTATGAGAGCTAGTGATACTCATCCAGTTGCTCAGGTGAGCTAGGTAGGGCAGGCTTTGAATCCGGGACGGGACCCACTGATTGAAAGCCAAACGCTTAAGTCAGTGAGTCACATGGCCGCCTCTCAGTAGTGGGTGGTGATTTTAGGTTAAATAAACAGTTAGGCCGCAACAGGATTCGAGTCAATAACACAACCAAATCACAAGTTTGGCTCTCTACCAGATGAGTTACAGAACTCAGTGGCCAACCAGGTTATCATTTCACTGCAATCATCGTATGCGCAGTGTCCAACAATCATATGAATGAACAATAAGTTATTGTCTATTTATCATTACACTAACTGCCAAGCTAAGTTTTTTCCATGTGCGCGCCCCTATTCCTGCTGAATTAGAAAGTAAGAAGGTTATTCATTGAGATAGTTTTGGGTTAGAAGATTATCGCTGATGCGTAATACATAATGCATAGATGTGAAGATTTATGTTAAAGAGGCATCATCACCTACCACTTGGCTTCCTTTCATTCTGTATCTGACTTATAAATAATCGGATATTTTATCTGATATTGATACACTACTTTCATATTAATTTGTTTATTAGATGCATATATCACACAGTAGACAGACAGTATTGTTATATACGGGATGACAAAGTTCCGAACACAATTTATTCATTGTGTATAATCATTTCATCGATTGTAGCCACACAACTTCGAAACTTGAGTTTTATATTTTTCTTTATTCCTCCCCTCTTCGTCGTCGTAGGGGTAGTAGTAGAATTTTCCAGATGTCCGGGTGTTGAATCATTTCTATTACATGTATTCGCTTCAGTTGTCAATCTCTCCTTGCATCATGTTGGTGGTATTAGATTTTAAAACTGTCATCTTATGGTTGTCTGTAATTGCATGTGGTGTAGTGCTATAGCTGAACTATTCTCCAGATTTCTTATCCTAGTGTTGGGTCAACTAATCTAGATTTTGCTCCTAGGCTTCTGTGCTCCGCTGGTCTGACTGACCCTGTTCTCTACTACTTTGACCTATGTATATTTGACCTGACAATCAACGCAGGTAAGGTATTAGACTAACTAAATTGTTTTGTATGATTGGCTCCACAGGATTGATCCTTTAACCGACAAAGCTTGACTCTAACTGAGTTTGTGGGTTTGAATGCCAGCCACTTTCATTCTGGCCCGCATTGTTAAAAATTTTCCGTCTCCTAGGTTTCCGATGTTCCTTCTTTGTATGGAAGTACTACTGACGGCGACTTAAATTGCCTATTGTTGGTGTTACCATTATTCTGTGCATGCTTGATATGCATGTCGTCATTAATAATAATATTTTTATTATTACCGCTATCACCATTATTATTATTACTAATTCTATCTTTACACTTTCCTACATACTTCCTGATTAATTTATCAAGGTAATTATTAAGTTTCAAAGCTTCTCTTATATGCCTCACTTCCTGTCTTAGTTTCCTTGGTACTACTTAGTTTTTGTGCCATATTACTCAAACATTTCACCAGTCCTATTTTCTGCTGACATCGAGTGGGATGATCTGAAATCTAAATATCCGTCTGAATGTGTGGGTTTCCTGTAAACACTAGTGTTTAACTCCTGATCTTCTTTCCTTTTTACGCTACAATCTAACATTGCAATTTTCCCTTTCTTGACTTTCCAATTCATAAGTGAGTCGAACTGCTCCTACCTTCGAGTTGCTGTGTTCTAACTATGTTGAATGTGTCATCTAGATACATCCAGCACTTTTAGGGTGGGGCTGGACGTTTCAATCGCTAAGTTTTCCCAATTATCCATGAATATATCTGCCACAATCGAGGATATAGGATACCCAATGGCAACTCCCTCAGTTTGTTTGTATATTTTCCCTTGGAATTTAAATACTGTGGAAGTCAGGCGTAGCCGCACTTCCAGCATTATGTCCTCAAGTGGCACTTTCATTCTAAGTTCAAGTTCTTGGTCAGAAATGAGTTCGTTACTGACTACCTCTATAGCCATATTTATTGGTATACGTGTATACAGACTGACAATTTCAAAACTAACCATTTTTTCTTCATTATGTAATCTATGTTTTAGTTCATAAGAATTTGTTAGTCTAGATTTTGAGTGACTTCTAAGCGGATTTAATACCATAGCTAAATATTTAGGCAATTCATAAGTAGGTGAATTTCTAAAATCAACTATAGGCCGAATAGGATATTCTGACTTATGAACTTTAACAAAACCATACATCCTACTGGGTTTATTAGTTTTCAGCATTAAATTAAACCATTTAGACTCACCTAGAAATAGCTTCACTTGGCGTATAAGGTCCGCTGTGGATTTCTTAATCTTATTCATAACGGTATCTATTGATTTCTTAATTTCAGCATATGATCCTTTTTGTATGAGGGGGTATTCACCTTCTCCAAATAGTTTGGTTTGTCTACTTTTTTTATTCCTTTACGTTCCAAGCGGAACTAGAGCTTCAAGCTAGTGCTTTAAGGTTTCGTTAGCAGTGGTGTTTATTTTTACGGGATGGGATTGCTAGCCTCATACCCTCAACCTTCTCTCTTTATTGGCCATACTACCGGCTTAGCAAGGTTTAGGAGTGTGTTGGTCGGGTATCGAACCCCGGACCACGTGAGGTGCGGTTGGTGAGTGTTCTGTCGCTGAATCACCTACGCTTTGATTTGTCTAATATTACACTACTTTTGTAATTTTATCAAATGTATTTTTTTCGTAATCAAAGTTTGTTATTATTAATATTTTTCTAAATTTATTTTTAGCCTCTGTTAAATTCACACCAAAACTGAACAAGGCCCTTGAAATCTTACATCAATTCAGTTCATTTATTGATCCTGTCAAAGTGATCCGCATAATGCCTACAGTCACATTAAACTCTGTAGGAGATTATTTGAAGGTATACAATTAGATTATATAAATAATATATTGTATTCATTCCTATCCTTTGTTGATGCATGTGTATTTAATACTTATATGTGTAGATACTAAGCATTTTTGTGCAGGCTCATTTTTCAAAAAAGAAAGGAACACTAAGGTTTTTGTCAAAAGAATGCTTACTGGACTGGAGCTTAGCATTATACTTTAAGCACTCATTGAGAACCTTCAACTCTACAAGGGACTTGCAGCACCAACGTATCTAGTTTCAAGTATCGGTTCGCAGGAATTTGATTGATTTTTGAATGAATGATTTGAATGATTATCAGCTGAAATCACTATTAGGGAAATCATTAAAAACTAGGGGGAGTACTGGACAGATGTTTCGTCTCAGTAGTATGCACCCAGACTACTCATCGGGGGAGGTGGATAGGGGATATTAATTTATGATCTAAATTGAAATTAATGCAATATATGAAAATTAACCTACTTCTGAGTAATAACTGACTCCGGGATAATGGAGTTCCTGTAGTTTTAGGGATACATCTGTGAACCAGTAAGGTTCTATACAACTCGAGTGTGAGGCCATATATACTTGGTGGTGGGGCTATATAGTTAAAAGTTAGAGTTCGTTAGCCGTGGCATTCCGTGTCAGTGACTGTGAAGGGTCAGTAAGTGGGGTTCACCTCACAACTTGACGATCCTGGGCCTCGATCCTTGGTAGTAGTGTCATGAGTTCGAAACTAAAAACGAAACAGGTTTTCAGTACTCCCTAGTGGTTTCTAGTGTTTCGCCAACTAATTGATGCTTAGGACTGTTTGTAACTCAGATTGTGAATTTTTTTGTGGTAGTTTTATTATCTTTTGAGCTTCTCATAGGATCCCTTTCGTCCACATGATAATAAGAAAGACAAGGAGGCGATATTTTGATAAGTGTTCAAACTAAGTGATTCAGTGAAGACTATTTTTCAACAACGAATTTATTATCAAACTGTACAGTCGTATATATATATATATGGTTTTTAAAAAATTATCTCCTGTGAGGGAATTAAATCGTAGGTGTGAATACATAAAATAATGATAGTAGTAGTATAAAATGCAATTAAAATGTTTGTGATTATAATCATAGTTCAATGTCAAATGACAAAACAATTAATGTCATATATAGAATAATTCAATCAAAGATAGGACTCCAAGTAAACATAGAGAAAACAGAAGTGATGAAGATTCCTGGGCAACAGTAACAACAACAGGCAACAATCAGCATAAATGGAAGGAACCTGAAAGAAACAACCTCCTTCACACCTACCCGGGAAGCATCGTTTCAACTACAGACCGAAGGAACTGACGAGGATATGTTATAACCGTAATGAATTGAGATAAACCGCGTCGCCAATTTGTTGTAACTGTACGGGAGAATTAAAATGAGGGTACGTTGTTGCCTTGTTCTGTCTGCGCCTGACTAATATGCCTATCTGCTTCTGGTACCTTCCGATTCAGCGAACCACGCAAATATCAAAAGACAAAGTCTGGTCTCTGACTGTGTATTGTAGTACAACAACTATGACTACGACGACGACTACAACAACGACAAATAAACTTATTTAGGAAATGGTATTTATACAATTTTACAACCAATAGAGACAGCTAACAGTATTTGAAATAATTGGTCGTAATAGTCAATAACAAAATGCGTCGGAATGATGATATACCACATATGCGAGATTAACAGTCATTAAGATAATTGAACAATAACAAAGTGCCTGGGAAATGATAATATAACACATATGCGAGATTAACAGTCATTAAGATAATTGACAATTGCAAAGTGTGTGAGAATTGATGATATACAACTTATACGAGATTAACAGTCGTTAAGATAATTGAACAATAACAATATGCGTGAGAAATGATAATATACAACTTATACGAGATTAACAGTCGTTAAGATAATTGAACAATAACAATATGCGTGAGAAATGATAATATACAACTTATACGAGATTAACAGTCGTTAAGATAATTGAACAATAACAAGTGTGTGGGATCCTATCAGGATATCAAAGCAAGAATCGGAAAAGCAAGACAAGCTTTCATTTCTCTCAAGTCTGTTTGGAGATCAACAACACTCAGCACGAAAAATAAGATCCGGATTTTCAACTCCAATATATGAAGTCAGTGTTGCTATATGGATCAGAGAATTGGCGCCGAGTCACGAAAGATACTCTAAACAAACTACAAATCTTCATCAACAGCTATCTTCGCTCAATACTCAAGATCAGATGGCCAGAAAAGATCAGCAACAGGGATCTCTGGGAGCAAACCAACCAGGAACCGATTGTGAAACAAATATGCAGGAAGAAATGGAGATGGATTGGCCATACTCTGAGGAAACCATCAAGTGACATCACTAGACAAGCCATCACTCGAGTGGAACCCGAACGGGAAGTGGCGAGTTGGTCGTCCAAGGGTGACTTGGAGGAGGTCATGGAAAGAGGAGATGAAGGCGTGTGGGCAGACGTGGAGCCAGGTGAAAACTCTAGCAGAGAACCGAACGCAATGGAGACGTGTGGCTGAAGCCCTATGTTCCTCTAGGAATTAAAGGAAATAATAATAATAGAATAATTCATAGGATGTATAGAACTTGGAAGGGGTGTGCAATCATGGGATCAGTAGGCAAATAGAATAAAAATAACGTTACGTAACATTTTGTGAAGCATGATAACATATATAATTTAACGTTGCAGAACAAAATTGATTTAGAATGACAAGTGGGACAGGTGAAATAATACCGGGGACAGACAGTTCAAAGTGAGAGTAATAATAATAATAGTAACAATTGACGTAATAAAGGAAGAGTTTACAAATTAAAGTAAACAAAACGAAAAATATGTAGAGCCAAAATATGGAATGGGGATTATCATACTTTGTTTGGCACAGAGCGATTAGGACCATGAAAGTTGGAAGGGTTGAACAAACTTTTTCTGCATACTGAGGCCTGGTTTTCTTTCTCGATGGCCAAGTCTTCAGCAATACAGATGAGTATACTCTTCCTTTATTAAGTCAATTGTGACTATTAATTATTACTCTCACTTTGAATTGTCTGTCCCCGGTATTATTTCACCTGTCCCACTTGTCATTCTAAATCATTTTGTTCTGCAACGTTAAATTATATATGTTATCATGCTTCACAAAATGTTACGTAACGTTTTTATTTTTATTCTATTTGCCTACTGATCCCATGATTGCACACCCCTTCCAAGTTCTATCCATCCTATTAATTGTTGTATATATAGAAAATCAAAACAAATGATTCAGCGAAGAGACTCTTGTCAACGAATTTATCATCAAGCTGTACAATCGTATATATATATATATATATATATATATATATATATATATATATATATATATATGGTTTTTAAGAAGTTATATCCGGTGAGGGAATTGAAGCATAGGTGTGAATGCATAAAATAATAATAATATGAAATGCAATTAAAACTAAAATGTTTGTGATTATAATCGTAGTTAAATGTCAAGTGGCAAAGCAAATTAATGTCATATATAGAATAATTCATAGGATGGATAGAACTTGAAAAAGATGTGCAATTATAAGATTATTAGACAAATCGAATAAAATAAAAACGTTACGTAATATTGTGTGAAATTTAATAGCATAGAATTTAATGTTGCATAAAGGAATTGATTTAGAATGACAAGTGGAACAAGTGAAATAATACCGGGGACAATTGAAAGTGAGAGTAGTAATAGTAACAATTGACTTAATAAGGAAGAGTATACAAATTGAATAGACAAAAATGAAAAATTGGTAGAGCTAAAATATGTTTGGGGATTACCATACTTTAGCATAGAGGGATTAAGACCATGAAAGTTGGAGGGGTTGAACGAACTTTTTCTGTACACAGAGATCTGGCTTTAATGCTTCGACAGCCAAAGATAGCTTCAGCAATACCGAAGAGTCGGGTACGTAGTGATTTGGGTACATTACTTTTCGCCTTGTAGATGACTTTAAAGGCGAAGGCTGTAGAGATAGGCTGATCATTATCGACCAGATGTTCAATGATCGCGCTTCTCATAGCTCCACTTCCGCCTCTTCGTAACCATGCCGGATAGTACTGTCAAACTTCACACAATGTTACGTAACGTTTTTATTTTTATTCTATTTGCCTACTAATCCTATAATTTCACACCCCTTCCAAGTTCTATACACCCTGTGAATCGTTCTGCATATGACATTGATTGTTTTGCCATTTGACTTTGAACTATAATTATAAACACAAATACTTTAATTTTAATTGCATTTCATACTGCTATTATTATTTTATGTACTCACACCTATAACTGAATTCCCTCACCGGATATAATTTCTTAACAGCCCATATATATACGATTGTACAGTTGATAATAAATTCGTTGTTGAAAAGAGTCTCTGAATCACTTAGGTTGATTTTCAATATGTCTCTGAGAATTTTCCATGAATATATGTTCAAACATCCAAGATCAAAGATGTGCACTTCTGTCCTAATGAAAAATACCCTTTAAGTATATTCGTAAGCAATTTTATGGAATTTAAATATATCTAAGGAATCTGTAGGACTCTGGAGAGACGAGTGTGTTAAGAGCTCTGCTAAACTGGAAAGTCTAGACATGTATAAAATTTTTCATTATGTAATGTATGTAACTCTGTTGAAATAATAAAACTCGATATAAATATTTTTACTTCCCGTTTTTTTAAATCCCTCCAACCTCCCCACCCCGGCTCGCGGCGCCCGTCTTCTTCCACAGAGTATGTTTATCAGTCAAGAAAGTACACTAACTCAATTAGTATTTCTTCAAAATGCTTCCAAAGCTGAATTAATTGCTTCGTGTACAGATCGAATAAAGTCTACGAGTGATCATTTATCAATTCTACCGTCAACACGTTGTCGTACATGTCGACGACGTATTGGTAATAGTGCTTTTGTGAAACAACCAAGAAATGCAAATCATAGTGAATTAGAACATTACGGATGTTGTAAAGATTTAATTTTTAAAAACACTTAGAAAAATTAATGATTTCCCAAATTTAATTAATGGGAGTACAGATGAATTATTAACATTATTATTATTTTAATATTTCTTCTTACCTAAAAGAACAAACCCTCGTTTATCTTATTTCATCATTCAGTTTATACAGACGCGCGCGCTTATCTACCTGCCTTTCTTTTACGGTTTCTTTCATTGATTTTGTGATAAAAGCATAATTATTTTCGTTTAATCCTCCCCTCCCCAGGACATAACTCAGTATTTGTTTCTATTGCATAATGTGAACCAAGTGATTTACAATTGCCTCTGTTTTTTTTTACATGTTCCTACATTTTTAAAGTATAAAAGACAATAAACCAAGATGAAATTATGCCCCTTTTTCTTTTTGATAATTTATTAATTCCCATTGTAGCATTAAGAACACAATATTCAGCGAAGAGACTCTTTTCAACAACGAATTTATTATCAAGCTGTACAATCGTATATATATGGTTTTTTTAATAAAAATTATATCCGGTGAGGGAATTAGGTCAAAGGTGTGAATACATGAAATAATAATAGTAGTATGAAATGCAATTAAAATATTTGTGATTATAATCATAGTTTAATGTCAAGTGGCAAAATAATTAATGTCGTATATAGAATAATACATAAGACGCGTGTATAGATGTTGGAAAGGGGTACATAATTATAAGATTAGTAGACGAATATAAAATGTTACATAACATGGTGTGAAATTTGATAAGATAGAATTCAATATTGTAAAAATAAAAAAATTAATAATTTTGGGTTTAAAATGTCAAGTGGAAAAGATTCAGAGTGAGAATAGTAATAATAATAATCGTAGTAATAAGGGAAAAGTGTGGTGAGAGCTGTCTACTAGCCAAATTGGTAGACAGTAATTTACGTCAATATTTACGTTCCCAAGATTTGTCGTGAGAAAATGTGAACAAAGATTGATTCAAAACCGACCACAGCAGACTTTGCGTAGGTGGATGCAGTTAACATATAGAGGATTTGACATTCAAGAAACAGTCACAAAGATGAATCTATAAATAACCATAGTAATGTACATGAATATATATGTGTGATTTCCTTAATAAATATCTGTTCTGACAAAAGTACATAGAATAACTAAATATACAAAAAAAAATAAATGTCTATCCCTCTACGGCCAAGGCAGAAGTAGGGATTGTACATACTTCTTTTGTACACAAAGGTCTAGCTGGCTTAAAGTCATGAATTGCCAAGGCCTCAGCTGTCTTTAGAAGTCTGTAACGAAGAAAACGCGGCCAGCAAGTTAGCATGGATTCTATATATGATCTTAAAATCATGGTCAGGGTTGACAGATGACAGAAGTCGATCAGGTGTTCCAAAATAGAGCTTCGCACACACTTCCTTTCTCCCTTGACACTTGACATTTTAAACCCAAAATTATTCATTTTTATTTTTACAATATTGAATTCTATCTTATCAAATTTCACACCATTTTTCTTTTTGCACAATTAATAATAATAATAATATTTGCTTTATTCCAAAACAGTACTTGTGATACCGAATGGAATTCTCAGCATTTCACTACAGTATATTGCATCCAGTTTGTACATTAACAATAAATAAATAAATAAAATTCTACATAGATTATGGGTAATCTCAGTTAATTTTGACAACAAGACATATTAGCATATCGGCAGCAGCAAAGCCAAAAGTGAACAGAATGTTTGAAGGTGCTTAGAAAAGTAGATACTAGCATATTTACTGGCGTAAGCGGTAACAACAAAAAGGTCGAGATATACACAAGTGTGAAAGAACGAAGAAGAATGTTTTAAGTAGAGTTTGTAAGGAAGAGAGAAACAAAACAGCACATAACAAAAAGAAACAAAAGAAGAGAAAAGGAAAAGAAATAAATGATATGAGTTGGAAAGACGAAATCCAGTTGTTCTACTGACTATTTAATAAGTTATAGGTATCACGCCTAATGCTTTCTTTATCGCACAGAACACGAGCTAAGTAGGGTATGGTTGAGTTTTTGTACTTGCTAGTGCGAGCATATAGTTTTCTATATAGGCTTCTGGTTTTGCCTGATGAGATACAAGGGGAGAGTTGTGAATGAAGAGGGTGGTGTGAGTTAGATAAAATGGATTTAGCCCATTTTTCACATGAGTCCATGTGCCTGTCGACCAGAATATTAACAAGCTGGTTAAGTGTCACATTGCTTACCCTGCTGACAACCCTTAACACCCTACGTAATAAGATATAGTCCTTCTTCAGTCAAAGTGTTTGGCGGATGACTGCTGCCAAAATACTCTTTCAAAACGGGAAACATTAGGGTTGTATTAGTTAACATGAAAAAAAATAAGATGCGGATTTTCAACTCCAATATGAAGTCAGTGCTATTCGCTATACGGATCAGAGACTTGGCGCCACGCCGCGTCACGAAGGGCACTTCGAACAAACTACAGACATTCATCAACAGCTGTCTTCGCTCAAGATCAGATGGCCAGCCAGAAAAGATCAGCAACAAGGAGGGATCTCTGGCAATGAACGAACCAACTCAGCAGGAACCAATTGTGCAACAAATATGCAGGAAGAAATGGAGGTAGATTGGTGGTCATACTCTGAGAAAAGAAACCATCAAGTGAGTGACATCACACGCCAGACCGTCTCTCCAGTGGAACCCGAACAGGAAGCGGCGAGGAGGTCATGTGAAGAGGAGATGAAAGCATCTGTGCGGACGTAGAGCTAGGTGAAAACGTTGGCAGAGAATCGAACGCAATGGAAACGTGCGGGTGAAGCCCTATGTTCCTCCAGGAATTAAAGGAAACAATAATATATAATAATAATAATAATTAGTATATTAACCCTGGACAGTATATTCGAAGTAAAGTTGAGACGTCTGTCTGTACGGCTATACTATGAGGGAGGATAGGTAGTATACGGGTGTTTTGTTTTTCTCTCACTACAACACAATTGTGTGAATACAATTCATTTAGAGCTTAATCAGTGTGTGTGTGTGACTAGGTTACATTCCCTCGCATATGATAGAGAGTTGGATTTAAGCTATATATTTATCCTATGAATAGAGAGAATATTGCATGCTGTCCTCCTGCGAATACAAGTGTAGATGAAGTGATCTGCATAAATCGATACCGAAGATGTTATTGTATTACATTACAACATTATGAGACATGGTTATTGTCTATGGTCTTTGTGGAGAGATGTAGTTCATTGGCTTTATAACACTTCGCTTTTGAAAAGAATGGTTCTACAGTTATATAAACATAATAGTGAATGAATTAGTGTTATCAACAACATTAATGCTTTTTTAAATAACATCGAGTCAATAATAATAGTAGTGGTAATATCAATGGATTACAGTTCGATAGCATCAACATAACAATACACACTGAATATCAGACAGACAAATTAGGAAAGATAATAGTAATACAGAATTCATGAATTTATAGTCTCCACTGAAGGCCGACCAGGGCAGTAGTAGTGGCTGCCTGGACTTGCTTCTTTTGCACACAATGCACTGGTTGTTTCACTAGAATCGTGATAGTCTCTGCTGTTTGGAGCATGCGGTATGCTGTACCTCGGTGTTTTCGGCAATTTATTTGGTACCTGATAGATGATAGAGAAGGATTCTTCAATGCTGGCTTTGTGACCGGCCGGTTTGGACCAGGTGGTCTAATATCGAACTGTTGATGGTTTTCACTACACTTTTACTTAGCCATACTGGTAGATGTTCTTCAGCACGAAAAATCAAGTTCCTAGAGCAACGGTCAATATAACTCGCCCCACAAGCACAGTTGAATTGGTTGATACAATTCCAAGTGGTTAGTCTAGGTACATTTGACCTATGGATATCGGGTTTTTAAACTCCACTCTACACTGGTTAGTATAACTATGAGTGTAGCTAAAAGCTGATTGTATGGAAACTATGCTCAGGGTAAATGAATTCTAATTTTTCTTCATACATTTATTCGCCTTTATGAATTTGAATAAAGCAAGAACAACAGTGGATTTTGCAGAATACAAGATGGTACCATCCTTTGTTTATTTCGTTGGCTTCTCATCAGCTGCTTGCTTACAGCCTAAATAAATTACTAGGTTTATGTACAGAATAGGTTTAACATACTTGCAAATTTTACATGATGTCAGTTGACAGGAGGTTCTAGACTTAGTGAACAGTGCTCAGAAAATTACGCTTATATAGTTTTTACACAGGGAGTTCAAGTTTAAACAAATTTAATGTATGCATACAATGGTAAAGGAGTTACGTAATAAAGACGAGAGATGCGTAAGATGAGTGACAAGTAAACTGGGTAACAATGTACTGAGTTCAACTCAAATCATAGAAACAAGAGACAAGCAAAATTACACTATATCAAAGGGGGGGGTGAGATTAAAGCCAAAGATTACGCAGTCAAATGAAAGAGAAAGACAAGGATGGCTCAAGGAAAGACTGATAACTGCTTCTTTCTGAACACATATATAAATCGGCTTTCAGGCACTTGATGGAGATTGCTTCGGGAAACCTGAGGAGAATTGAGCTTTTTTGTCTATTGATGATTTTAAAGGATTTTGCGATTTCCACCTCATGACCCGTGTCAAGTAGATGCCTAGCGATGGTACTGTTTAAAGCATTTGTTCCCCACTGGAGACATAGGCTTTTCGGTACATGTTTGGAAAATCGGAGATGTGCGTGCCCTTCTACTTTCTGCTCCCGCAGATACACGTAAATTTGTATAAACACTTGGAGTTAACATGAGAAGGGTATCTATCTATCATCTGTCGACTTTTGACTGCACCAAGGAGCGTGTTTCTAACTAACTATGCTCTTCGGAGTATTGTTATATTCTCTCACAGCAATCTCTTATTCGCATAAAATTTGTCTAAATTCGTTCGCTTCATTAGATTACATAAATATTTAGCCAATAATAAAGTTGGACTACCTCCTTTCTTCCTATGATTAAGGTTATCATTTAAAAAAGGTATCTTCAAATAGTTCAATTCACGAAAAATACCCATTCAGATATGATTATAAGAACAGACAGTTCAGAGAAGAGTCTCTTTTCGACGGCGAATTCATTCACTTAGCTGTACACAATCGCAATTATAAATAGTGTCAGACAAGGATAGAAATTAGTTCGGATTATTGTTTACGTCATCAAAATGTCTCAAAAAATGTGATGAATAATCAAACTGTATCTAGGGCGGTGGGTGAAGATTAGTAGGCATTGACAAGAGTTACGTAATATGAGAGACCCAGAAAAAAGAATGTTAATGAAAGAGCATGGGGACACGTGTCCAAAATAAATTATGTAATAGGTAGAAAGAGTGTAAATAAAGGGTCACTTAAGAAAAAGAT